CATATATTTGCGTTTTATAATGCAATATCGGGCACTCCACTCAATATGTTTCTAGACAAAAAGGCACACTTGAAAACATTTCACACGAAGAAAAAGTATCAGATAATGTGCCGGCAAAAATTGAAATGGGTGAAGCATAAAATAATATTTGCGTATAAAATGCAGTGCTGGGCACTCATTATGCGTAAGAATAGTAAGTATAAAACATCTCACATAAAAAACATGTACATGCCAAATTATGTACAAACACAATAAACTCTAGTGAGAATTTTGCTGCTGTTTCGTTTCCAATATAGAATTTCTAACGAGGCCTCAAATAAGTTCATACAACACGTAGCTCTGCAGCGGCGTGCAATCGATTTCTTTGCTTCGTTTTAATTGAAGTTAGTGATAACGTTTTTTCGCATAACGCATTGACTGGTTGAAAATACGGACAACAGTTTGATTGCCAGATTACCTAGCGATGGGTATTCGTTATCAATAGATGTATATATCCAAAATTGTGACAGTGGTTCTTGTTTAAATCTGGACTGTGAAGTAGAATCACAATTTTAATCAAGCTTTTTCATCGGGTTCGTCATATTAATCCCCCTGAAGTTGATCGATGCGTCAAATAAAATGAATTTACATTACAATGACTAATGACTAAGGTAACTTGGTACCAGGCTCAAAATCTTACTGCGTCTGCTCAAAATACTGGAGAAGATCTCTGCGGCCCACGCTTTTTTGCGCGTCTCGTGATCACCTGCAGGGTCGCAACAAGTTCATATTATACTCTTCCTGACTGCTTTCCTGTTTAAAGAAAGAAATATGCACAACGTTTTATTCGGATGGTCATATTAATCAGGAAAAGCACGTAGAACAGAAAAAGCACGCGTGCCGATTTTTAGGTTTCTGAATCTTGCGAGATTTGATGGAGCGTATTCGCGACGAATCAGACCCGAAAAAGCGAAAAGTATGATAACTCGGCGCCAAGATGTCGCAATATGACGGAGGAAGAGAAATTGCGTAATAAACAATGCAACTTCGTCTTCGGTAAAGCGATTGAGACAGCATACAAACAAAGAAATTTTTCTCGGACCGGCGGTTGTGAACCACTGGTCTAGCGCAATGGTTTTGCACTTTTTAAACAAAATCCCATAACGAACCCCCTGCAATTTTTTTTAATGATTCCCGACCTTGTGCACTAAAACAAAACATTAAAAAATCAATGCACCGTATAGAGAAAAACATTAAAACGAACAAAAGTATATGACGAAGTTCTAATGAGATGGGTGCACTTGTTCTTTGCAATCATTTCATATATATTTTGGTTTCGGTTTTTCACGTTGAAGATTTTTTGCACTTCTATCATTAACCATAGCTATAAACTGTTCTTGAATCTGATTGTTTGTAGAAGGTAAATCGTCCAACTGGAGTCCAAATCGAGTGTTGATGATAAAATGAAAATTTTCAAATTCCTGTAATTTCTGAGAATAGAAACGAGGGACTTCATTACTTGGAGGAGGATATCGTCGCTTATTTAAAGTTCATTTTCATCCAAAAATTCATAAAAATGTGGAAAAGGAGCAATTTTTTTTTTGTCTAATTTGAAATGCCACAGTGAGAGTTTCATATTGAAAGCTGTCAACTTTTCATGGCAGTGGATCACGTTTATTTCTTCGTCTTTCAGTGCCAGGTTAACGGATTCAAAATTGCCCCCCAAAAACGACAGGAACATCGAAAAACGACGATCAGAATATTTTTTATGCATTTCTGGTTTTACCTCACGTTGAAATTCAGTTACTTCCGTAGTATGTGTACCAGGTTAATTTAAGGCCATAATTTTATTCCGATTTTAGTTCTATTACGAGGGGCGTGTCAGTGTTAGCCAAGTGAATATACCCCCTGCCCATAGGCTTCCATCCTTTTACACAATTTAATGTAAATCGGGCGAAATTTTTTTTTGTGTATTTTTTTTCAAAAATGAAAAACTTTTTTTCATTACTTTCCCCTTCGAAAACCATTTTACACGCGTATGCAACAAAAGCTTTTCGAACACTGAATCTCTTTATTTGCACAGTTCCGGAAAAAGACGAGAATTAAGTGCATTCGCATTTATAAAGTTAACTGCTTTGATTACATCAGCAAGAACATGTGATAATTCATATGGCATTGTTTTAACTATTTACGCTTGGCGGTGAATAATGCAATGAGTACCAACAATGTCCGGGGATATTTCTTTCACCATAGTCTGAAAACCAGAGCGACAACTTAGCATTGCTGTAGCTCCATCAGTGCAAATGCCGATAACGTGTTTCCATTGGATATCATGTTTCTCAAAAAATCCATCAACTTTGCTAAATGAGTCTTTTGCCGTTGTTTTTGTGTCACGGATTTTGCAAAACAAAAATTCATCTTCCAAATGTTCCTCATGAATGTAACGTGCATATACGCTAAGATGAGCTAGATTAGGGACATCTGTTGCTTCATCGAGCTGGATTGCGAAAAAGGTAAACTTTGAATTTTGTATCTTCGTGACAGAATGTTATTCGACAGCAATTCGTCGACTTACAGTATTATTCGATAGTGATACATGCTTCAGTTTTTCAACTTCAGAATTGCTCAGCAAATTCGACATGATAGTTTTGCAGCATAGCAGGATCAACTGTTCGCCAATGTTGCGGGCGATTAGTCTAAAACAGTAATTTTAAATCACTTCAAATTTAAATATATATAAAAAAGTAAATACATGACATATTGTATATGATAAACAAACATGAGAGGTATTGATGAAATGGACGCTGAACCTGTTCAAAATTATTTTATCACTTAGGTAATTGTATTGGGTGAAGAGTGAAGACTGTCTCTAACCAAAGGCCGTATCGCTGTCTCCCATCCACATACAGAAAGCATTTTGTTATTTAATATTTATATATGTACATGCATTATATAACAGTTTCTCGCCTTTTTGCTGACATTGAGACATTACTGTAAATTTTCAAGACAATATTTTCAATGTCAACATGCAAATTTCCTAAAGCAAATTTCAATGTATTGTGTACAATGTGTGCACTGCAGTTAGCCTTAATAATACCATCATTTAGTGTGCGAACATTAGTATAAAGAGGATGTTTTTCTCCAAAGTTGCAATTTGCGTTATCTGCACTTAAACAAGGAACTCTTTTCCAATCAAGTTGTAAATTGTTCATAGTGTTTTTCAAACAAGTAAACATTCCATCCGCACTTTCATCTGCATTCTTGAAGAAATCAATAACATAAGTAACTGTGCCATGTTCCAAGCTAAAATAGGCTACTGAACACAGACTGGGAACATTTTCATGTTTTTGTGATTAGAAGCATCAGTTTGAATGCCAAAAAATAACGGAATTCTCAGATATTGAACTAGAATTTACTCAAATCTTGGAGTGTTGCCACTTGCCATCTTCGGAAAATTAATGTAAAATATTTGAAATGTTAATAAAATTAGTATTTCTTTGGCTATTTGATCCGGACCAAAGCGAAATTAAAAAGAATAATTAAAAGCTTCAAATAAACGGAGGTTATTTAAGAACGGAACAATATTAAACACAGTACTATAACCAGAGCCGTTATATAATGGCTCTGCTATAGGATAGGATAGGATTTACATATTTATCCCGGGGGAGAGGAAATCCGATAAGACGGCTTATCCCAATGAGCATGTATATATGCTCATTGCTTATCCATATGGCGAACCACGGCCTCTCGTCCGGTTACCATTCCAAGTCGGGTATGGGATTGGTTTTACTGTATTGTGTGTTTTCGGAAGCATGGACTTGGTGGTGGAGGAAGCCGTAACCGACCAGCGGTTACGTGTACCACCCAACGACGGCGAGGAGTCCAGCAATCCTCTCGCACATAACCATCCCTGCATGGGATTAGAACCTGCGAACCCACGCAGAGTAATTAAAGGTGCGGTGGCGAGCGTATTCCTAACGCTTATCCCGTTGAGCCACACCGCCGCGCCTATAACTATCGATATTGGAAAAAATGAAGAACAATTATCATCTTCAAAAGGACAAGGACAAAAATCTCAAATAAAGGATTGTCCTTTGAAATAAAGGACGGTTGGCAACCCTGGACGTGATACGTTCGCTAACAATGTTAGCGGGAAACAACGAAACAAACAAAATAGCGCATTCACCTTCAGTAAGTACGCTAGCGTTGCGCTACACAGCAACAACAATAACGAGAACATGATCGTGTATTATGCTGGATGGCCGAACGCAAAAGCGGGACTTGTGCCTGACTTGCCGGGACGGCGGGACAAGACGCTAAAAAGCGGGACTGTCCCGCCTAAAGCGGGACGCCTATTAATAAAGGAAGTTTGCGTCCCTTTGTTGTAAAACATTTTTCCCCGGAGATTGATTTCCTTTTTATTGCCGTAACAAAAGCTAATCATCAATAAGTTAACAATGACGTATAAATTGTAATTTGTGGTACTCTGATATTTCTTCCATACAGACAGATATTTAATCGTGGTCATAAACATTTCGTTGTTTTCGTAGTGTTGCGTGTTATTTGTCAGTTTTTAGTTGTGTTTCCAAAAATTAGTTTCAAATAAATAGCTTGATTGTCATTCTGTCTTCCGACGCGCCTGCAGCGTAAAACTGGGCTAAAATTGCACGTGGTTGAATATTTCAATAAAAATAGAAGTTTAAAAAAAATGTAAACCATTTTATAAGCGTCTATCAGCAGAAACACTGTCGAAATAAGCATCAAAATCGGGGAAACATCCATTTCATAAAACAGGATATCGATTATCGTCACGCGCTTATGCACGTGATTGTGATGTTTATAGGGGAGTCCCCGCCGATTTATGATGGAGGGATTTAGTTAATGTTTTTCAGTTAGTGGATAAACTCAACACCTGTGGACATAATGTTGGAATATATTAAATTAATGACATCATGGTAATGGTATGAATTTGTATTTGTTTGAATTTTCATTATATTATTCATATATATATCTTAATATTTGGGGGGATGGGATTTCAATTAAAAAACCAAAACATGGAAACAAAACGATTATTTCCCAATTTACTACCTAATTGAAAAACTATTATTTTATTATGTGCAGGAGTGTTTAATATTTATTTATAAAGATGGCAACTGGTGGTAAAAGTGCAGATTACAATAAGTTAAGTGAAATCAATGCATGTTATCAAAACTCTATGACGTTCGTTGGGAATGCTCTGGAAGCTGATGAAAATGGAAATACAAACCTTGCTGTTGAAATTTATATGAAGGCTTTGAAATTTTTAGAAGATGGAGTAAGGGTGGATATTACTGGGCCAGAATATGTTGGAGCCGAATGGTCAGTTGCAAAACGTCAACAAGAAAATATGCTTAAAGCACAAGTAAAAACAAAGCAAAGACTTTATGATATTCAGGAATCTAATGCAGATGCTCATAGTCATAACAACTCACCGGATGTTCCTACTTATTCTTCAGCATTACCAGAAGGTCATAAATCATTATCTTTCGCAGCGGAGGAAATGTATGACATGTCTGGTGCTTCGGAACTACTTGCCATCCCAAGCGGTGTCCAGATATTTTTCGTATCTGCGGATCAAGAAGTAGGGACGACCCCACCATCTTATCCTACGTTCTTGAAAGTCCATGTTCTAGAAAGCACTGGACAAGCATTTGTGCAAGTTTCGGATTGGATTTACCCTCTTGTAAGCGGTGAGACACCGGCGTTAAAAATGTCAAATGGTGCTTATGTGTTTCCGAATCGCACATCTGGTGGCATATCGCCTGGTTCCATTGGCATAGTAATATCTAGTGAAATAGATCCAGGGTTGGTAGAAACATTCGAGAATATTCTGCAGAATTTGGCACTGTTTCGTTCACAAGAAACTACTGAAGGAGAAGACGTTTTGAACTTGTCTGATTCCGTACATGTTACGGAGGAATCGTCTATAAGTGATAAAATTGTTGGTGGTATACAAACGGGTGCTGAATGGTTGAGTTACGGACTCAATAAGGGAGCAGAAATTACAACAGATCTGGTAAAAAAGGGGTCAAATAAATTGAAAGAAGGTATAACACCAAATGATGAGCCTTCTACAGTAAACCCAACTGTTAAAAAGGGGTTATATTACACCCATGAAGCATCAAGAGCAACTGTTAAAGTCAGTAGGTTTTTGGTCGATGGTCTATGTGCTATAACAAGCAAAGTGAGTCAAGAAATTGCCCCACATGTTAAGGATTATAGTAAAAAAGTTTTACCAGATTCAGTAACATCAAAAGACCAAAAAGGAGAATCTAAAATGGATGGCGTGATCAAAGTTGCTGGTGCTGGACTGGCTGGATTCGGTACAGTCTGGGCAGAACTGGAAAAATCCGGTTTAGCTATTGCACGATCAGTTTCATCTGCCACAGTAGAGAACGTCCAGCTGAAATATGGCCAGGAGGCTGGTACTGCTACAAGCCATGCAATGGGATCAGTTGTTAACGTCGGCAAAACCGCATTCAATCTCGATAATCTTGGACTAAAAGCGATTGCAAAAAGAGCTGCAAAGGACACAGGAAAAGCTGTTTTAAAAGAATATTCAGCAGAAGCAAAAGAAGATAATTCAAAATGTTCAGAATCAAATATGTTAAATGATAAGCCTAATAAACATTGACCAGAATTTGTTCATAGTAAATTATTATCTTTCTTTAATCATAAAGTTCCTTTTATATTCCATATAGCTATTATAGTCAGTTTTCTTTTTTTTCAACTGAACGATGTTACTCAAAATACATTCATCTCTGATCAAGTTACTGACGTTCTAGAATATAAGGTGCTCCGGTGAATGCATATTGACACAAGACTTGAAGAAGTTTATAGCCAATTATGGTTCAGTGATGCCCACTAACAGAAGGAATTTCCTCATCCACTGCTGTTTGTTTTGAACATTCTTGACAAAGCCTAATGGCTAGTTAGGCAAAAATGATAAGTCTCTTAAGGAGATGATATATGAATAATGGTTTGCCATATGGTTAATCTGAACTAATTTGTAGTTTTTTTCTTGCTGTTGAGTTTAGTATAAAAATTGGATATGGAGTCTGCTTAGCAACTGAGCAGTGATTCATTCGAGTAGGATCTTATTGTATTTATTCCATAATTTTCAGGTCTATCCACATTTATTTGTGCTGGCTATGCTGCTCTTCCTTTTAATATAGAAACAGTACTTGTATACACAAATGTTACTTTATAAAAAGTTTGCTTCATCTTGGTCAAATATTGCATATCCATGTCTAGCAAATAATCCCTTATGCATTTCGTTGGGTTTTCCAACAAAACACACATCAATACTTTGGCGATATAAACTTGAACTTCGTTGAAATATTTTAAAAGCAGATTTTCTTTATTGATTTTGTCCCAAGATGATTAACAGCTATATATTGCAATTACCAAAACTCTGAAATGGTGATCAATTTGTCTTTCAGCTGCATGGGAAACACAATTTTAGGGGTTGAACAGATGTGGATAAAGATATACTGTTCATATGAAACGCCTAACTTTGAACGCTGCTTTCTACTGTCTTTATCAATTTATTGTTTCTCATAATTTCCTCAAAATTGCACTTTGTTTATTGTTGTACTAAACATCTTGAATATAAAAGAAAAGACGAAAAGTTATATTCGTTGGTGAAAAATTTTACCACTGACATGTTTTACTGTGCTCAATAGAACAGGGGCATTTCAAGAGAGACATTTCAAACTTCTGGTCCAAACATGCCTGAGGAATTGTAATCATAGATCAAACACTGAACAAGAAAGAATTTGGCCGAAACTGAGAGTAAGGTGAATTGGATAGGTGCAGAACAATGGTTATTTATGGTGGCAATAGGAACGATTCTAGAAGACTCGCATGTGCAAGAGTTTGTATAGTCTGGGTAAAAATACCAGGTGCCCTTTTTGATATGGCTTGAAGTTGAGTATAAATTTTCACAGCCCTGGGTCTGACTAGCACATTTTCTCTATACCTAGTTTACGAAGATATCAATCTGGATAAATCCATGGGGTGGCAAAAATGTTCACTTTTGGATCACGTTGTTATGTCTAATGAGCAAGCACTGTTAGGCTCGAATGTCACATCAAGACACTGATTTCAAATAATAATATGGTGCTTCCATGAGTATTTATATTATGATTTAATAAAATGCGATAATAAAGAAAATTGCTCAACAAGTGCTGGTAAGATATACAGTCATAAAACGTTTATATACTAGTGCGAATGAAGAGCCCATGCACAATCCTCAAAAACAATTTAAAAACTGCCAAAAAGACAAACTGATTAGTAGCAAGCTAATTTTGAATACATAATCAATACTCAGAAGAGGTGGTGTCAAGTGTCAAGGGATTTCAACCAGGGACGTAAATGAAATTTGTGATACCTGCACAGTAAAGTTTCACCGCAAGACCAGTGCTTCCCAACCAGTGGGTCGCAAAGCTAATCAAAATGAGCCGCAGGTATTTCCAAATGTTACATACAGTTTTCTATTACATCGGGAAATTGTGGCATTATTATTACGAAACAATTATAATTATGCATTGCATCTCGTTAATATTTTCAGTTTGGAAACGGCAGGTAGGCGACTAGGCAGATCAGTAATTTGTTGAATTTGTGTGGACAGTAGCTAAGAAGTAAATATGCGTTATTTTAATACCCTAACTTTGTTTGACACCCTAACAAAGTAAAAGGAAAGCTTGTCTGATTACATCACATTTGAGGCATGGTATTGCTTTGAGCCAAAAGCACAATTTGCTGAGTGTTAAAGCTGCGTTGCGTGTGAGCTCGTCTCCAATCAAGCCTTGACTTGATCTGATAATATACAATATGCAAGCTCAAGTTTCGCATTAATAGTAAATTGCATGGGGATACATTGTTCCTTTTATCATATATCAACATCTCATTGTGGGTCGCACAAAGAAATGATAATACAATACGTCAAGAATTGCAAAAGTTGGGAAGTACTGCACTAGGCCTTTTTCATAATAAAGGCTTCATGTCATGCTTAGTACAGTATAATACTGGGAGATCAAAGTGATCAGACAGTGCTAGAATATACAGAATAAATGTGTTCCTTATAACAAACTATCAATCATTGCATCAGTCCAATTCAAACTTTTTAAAATATTTTTACAACGATTAACACTTTTCATGATAGGAGGACACTGAAGAATTATTGCATTCACTTGTTTTATAGTTAAATTTTTCGTCCCTTCTAAATCAATATCTTGAATTTCTGACACCTGTTCTGGTTCATTGCCAATTTTGTTTGAAGTTTGAGCAGAATTGTTTGATGGGTGTAAACTCGTTGAAGCGGAAAACGATTGGATGATTTCATCAGGGACAGACTGTGATTGGCTATTTTGATGCAAAGACATTTTTAAAAACTCTTCTGCTACCGCATTTGTTTCTAAAGATTCAATTTCTTCCAAGAGAAGAGTGTGTTTCTAGTAACGTAGCGTCAGTTATTGGATGCCCCTCGTATGAAACTTGATATGCTAACAACGCACTCAAAATTCCTCTAATTTTTTGACAGAAGAAATTTGACAAAAATCCTTGATGAAAACCGGCGTTAACGCTTCTTGTAATGACTGCTTCTGTCCGGCTGTGGTCCCGTCAACGAAACCTTCTTTAAATCGATTTTGACAAATTTTATTCCATTCTTGCGACATTAATTCTAATTCCGAACCTTGGTCCATCTCATCGTCATCACTGTTCATGATGCTTTGTACTGGTAATTAAAAGGTTATATATAAAAAAATTCTAAAAGATAAGTATGGCAGAATCGAAATATGATAAATAAAATAAAAAACTTCCCATAGAATGCACAATAGTAAGGGCTGTTGATGTGTTTAAAATGTCCAAAAATTTGTCCAGGCATTTGAGATTGGGTGAAAAAATTATGATTCCACAATAAAATTCATAGATCATTATAAATAACATCATGGATTGTGTCTCAAGCATTTTATCCATTTGGTATTTCTGTCACAGAGATAAACTGCAAAAATGCCTATTTTTACCAAAAAAGCACAGATATTTTGAAATGAATCTTCTGCAGATAACATTGCTTTTAAGTTTCATTGAAACAAAGTCTATAATAATTTTACTCTGTATAAAGATTCAGATTGGCGCAATATTCCACTTTTATATGCCTAAGTCAGTGTTTTATAAGGTGGTCCAAGTGGGCTTGAGGATTTTTTAAAATCAGTCAGGATTTTTAAAATGAGTCTGGAGTTTCTGTTGGGCCTACAGTAGGCCTGAAGAAACATGTATGGCTGGAGAACCAAGGATGGAAGTTCAACTTGACAAGTTTATAAATGGATACAAGAATTAGTTTGGTCATTGACACTTTTACTGTATTGTTTATATTAACATTTTACGATACCCAAAAATCCTAATAAAGGTTTGTGGGCCTAAGATTTATATTGGCAAGAGAATAAAGGCTGAACACCACTGCCCTGAGTAATCTTTCACATAATTTGCAGCAATAATGACAGACTTTCGTAAGTTACAGTAACATGAAATGGCAGTGAAATATATAACTATTCATTCAATAGTTACCAATCAAACAAAAACATGAGACACAGTTATTAGGTTTCGTACTAAACAAATCAAAAGCCACAATGGCCAATATTTATGCGCTCCCAGGGATTTTTCTGTAAGAAAATTAGCTTGTGAAAGTCTGACAAAATTATTACAACTAATAACTCAGGATGGTCGGGACATGATGTTCGTCGTATTTTCAAATTTCCTGTATATTCCAGCAGGGCCAGCTGAAAGGACTTAATGAGGCTTTCCAATGCTATAAATTTAAAACTCGTTGACAATTATTCGAAAAGCCATACAGATTTATCTTTGAATACTATTCTTTCTGTTATAATTTTAAGTGAGCTATTCCATTGATCAGAATATCTATTCTCCAAATTCGAAACTGCAGAGAAAAGTCATCAAACTTTCACACAGGCCTTTGCTTCAACGATATGACAAGAAGACAACTACATTTAAACACTTTTTGTAAGAATTGCAATAATTTTATTTTATATGTAAAATACTACCGAGCCACCACTTGTTTTAATCTTTGTTTTTTAGCAGTGGTACCAGTCCTATAATTCATTTCAAAATAAGTTTCAACCACAACAGGAATCAAGCTTCCACCAACAGGGTTCTGTACAGTTTGCTCATGCTCAGAGAGAGTAATTTGCACCACATCACCCTTATCTGGGTTGGGGTTGTCCCTTGACCCCGCCATAAAACCTAATATAATCGACTTCTCTTGTCTAGTTAGTCTGTTAGCGTTTCGGAACATTTCTTGTGCTTGGTACCACTGCTCACGTGTAAGTGTCAAAGTCTTTTTCTGTTGCTGCTGTTGTTGGGCTTGCTGTGCAGCTTGCTGAGCTGCTGCTGCTGCAGCCTGCTGTTGAGCATGCTGCTGTAATTGTAACTGGTGTTGTAGGTTACTCGAAACAGCTGTTTGTAAGCCGGGAATTGAACTTCGAATTTGTCCTTCGTTTGCGGAAGGAGCGAATCTTATAGTTTGTGCAGGGATTTGTACGCTACGTTGCACCATATTAGGAGATACAATATAAGGCATTCCAGGTCGCACCGGTACTTGAGTACGATAAATTCCTGCAGGGTAACCATGTAGCACCGTTGTTGGTTGTTGTATTGAGACTTGCTGCTGCTGTTGTTGTGAAATCTGGGGCTGAGAAGGGGTATGTAATCTTGGCTGGTTTTGTACAGGTGGGGAATAGAACCTTGGTACTTGAGGAAAGTTTTGAGTGTTTTTTGGAAGTGATAAATTTGTCTGCTGGGGTTGAGAGTGCACAGGACTGATTTGCTTATTCTGTGTGATTTGTGGGCTTTGCATAACCCTTACTGGACTCGGAATATTTGTTGGTTGCTCTTGCGTTCTGCGAGCGGGGGAAGGACTGCTAGATGAAGTGCTAGATGATGAGGTGTGAGAAGATGGGGTGTTTGGACTTGATAAAGCCGGTTTAGAATGTGAAGGAGAAGTAATAATATGAGCTGGAGTTGGCGTCGGTTTAAAATACGGCGAAGGTGTTGCAGGCATTGCATATACAGGATAATCTTCAATCGAAGGACGTTTTTCAATTGGCGGATTTTTCTTAGTTGGTTCAGGGGGTGGGGCTGAAGGCGGGGCAGGCATTTCTTCTTGGTCAATAGAACTATAATTAACCGGCATTTTGTTGGTTGGTGATTCTGCAGGGCTATAATGAGCAGAGTATTCATCTTCATCCTCCATTTCTTCTTGTTGATCTTCATCTGCCTCATCTGTGTCATCATTTGCATCTGTTGGAACCGATGGCTCTTCCTCGGGTGCAGTAGATTGTGCCATTGTTGGAGGGACGAGACCAGCGGCATACTCCGGTGTTTCGTCCATTTTTTCTTCAGGCTGAGTCTGCTGTGAACTGTCATCTTCCTGCTGTTGCTTCTTTCGTCTTTTCTGTTCTCGAATTCCGAGAGGTTGCTCAGAAATATCCAGCAATTTTGTTCCTCGCTCTGCTCTTGATGAAAATCTCGACGCTGTTCTGCTAGCCCCACCAGGTGTCATGTGAGAGCCTGGAGTCGACTGCGTCCTGAATCCTTCAGCTCGATGTGCACCAGCCGGTGTTTTTGGTATTCCCCTCATAGGACTTGCATCCGAAAGCTTTCTTGTCATGTCTCTATGTTTTACAGGAACCATTTTGTTCGATACACCCTTTTTAACTTGACTTGACGCATTAGTTGACTTCTGCATCAAGTCCACTCTCAATGCAGCGGACTTCGGCTTTCTTTTAAGCGCAAAATGTCTCTGCGGAGGGGGTTGATTACCGACCAAATTTTGAAGTGCATTTTTATTAACGTATTGACACTCTAAAGGCAAAGTTGCAAAAACATCAGAATCCCGAACTTTTTCTTCCAACTGGTGAATGACATTTTCCGCGATTTGATTTGAGCTCAAATCAAGACTCAACTTACACCTCATTGGGTAAGTTTTTACCACGTTGGCAACAAGTTTTACCCACTGGTCGCCGTCGTCTAAAGCAAGTTCCACTAGCCCATCAATAGTATGTTTCATCTCTTCTAGACTTCTTCGAGGAAGATGTAATATTCCCAATAAGAGCTTCATTTTTACTGTTGTCGATAAGACAGAAAAACAGCGGAATATATTGTCAATTGTGTCAGTTTTTATAATTCCACCAATGCTTGACGAAACCCAGAGTTCCTCAGCGGAACCCAGCTTATTATGAAGCCATAAAGCAGTATCATTGTCTCTCATGGCACGAGGGGCGGCCATTTTTAGGCAAAACTGTAATCTATCTAATATGTAATAATTATATCACTGTCTGAAAAAAAAGGGAAAAGGGAACATTAGAAAATTGACAAGTCAGATTAAGGAATCTTTTGGTTAAATGAAACACAAGGGTATGTGAAGTAAAGCATCTGTAAATTCTTATCTATAAAGTTTAACACTTCAGAATTACTGGTATGCCATATTGATATTCTAAATGGATATATTATGCAGCAAAATCACATCGTTGAAATTTAACTTTATGAAGCATACAGTAATAATTTCACTAACAAAACATACTGTAGTTTTTTTAGAATAAATATTCAATTAAGATTTAAATTTTAAACATTCGTAAATTGAAAAAGTTTCAAGTATTCTCAAATATGGACATTGTAAGAATTGGAATCATGGTTGAAAATGTCATTCATTCAATGTGATTTGAATTGAAATTTGTCACTGAAATAATTTCTTGAACCATTTGTAGACGCAGGAAAGATTAATTAAAACAGATTATGCAGAGCATGGTACAGACACAAATAAGCCATGAACATGGATAGCTGAATCACACGATTAAAAATGTTAAACAAAGAATTGAAAAAATGAAATGTTTTGCTGATATTCAATAGCAGACATTCTCAATTGTTATAAATTAAACACTGTTAAATTTAATTGTAAATATTCCAGAAAAGAAGCACACTTTTCTTTCCTAAATCGCCACCCATAGTGTTGGGTTCGAAAATAAAATGGAATACAATGTTCTGGAACATACAGATGGCATTTGACAAAAACAGAATTCTTTAATGTCAAAATACAATATTAATCCACGAAAACCTAGTGACCATGATATCACCTAAATAATTCTATCATGAATACCCCTAAAACAAGCGAGTCTGACGTGTCTGTAATGTTTACAAATTTCATATCTGGCGAGTCAAAATCTGGCGGTTGAGCATAAAGAGCAAAAATAAAGCTAATTATAGTAAATATAAAATTGAGTTCAAGTAATGGTTGGCTCTGGTGCTTCGTCTAACGTAGGAGTACCGCTACGCTGCCGATCTCTGTTCCCCTGTGGAACTTCTGCATCAGTAGACATTGTCAATTTCATTTGCTGTGGTTGTTGTTGTTCACTGGACATTGGTGTCGAGCTAATCCCTGGTGCAACAACTTGAGACGGACCCGGAGCTGCAGTGGGAAATCCTCCTCGAGCAACATTTTCTTCGTTCGTTTCCATTTTAACGTTGGTGAATCCACGTTTTTGGAACAGCTCGAGTGCTTTCGTTCTTTCCTCTTGTTCTTGAAGCATTTTTGCCGCCTTTTTTACCTGTTCATCGATTAGTTTTGTTTTAGCTTCACTCTGTTCTTTTTCTTTCTGGATTCTATCATATTCTTCGGCCATCTTTTGTTGTTCTTCTCTGGCTTGCTGTTCAGCAACGGTGAGAGCAAGTTCCGCAGTTTGTTGTTGAATAGTCAAAGTTACAGCTTTTTCCAGTTCAATTCGAGTTGGTTTCCGTTCTAACAACGCCAGCACGTCTTTATTGACGTGAAGTTTTTGTTGCGGAGTAAAGCGTTCTACGTATTGCAACATAGGTTCCCGTAATTCCGGCGCGGAATCGAAAACAGAAGATAATTGCACGGAAGGAAGCTGTAGTAACACTTGAAACGACTGGGGTTTCATACGCTGACAACATCTTATGAATCCATCCCATACTTTTTCTTGTTCCCAAACCTTTTTTAAAATTAATCTTTGAAGAACATTCATAACAAAACCTGATAAACGTGGATAAGTGATCAAGGACTGAATTACCGTTCTCATTAACAGAGTCGGAATTTCTGCTTGCTCTACCAAGTGGTTGATAACAGTAACCAAAACTTCCGATGTGTAAACTGCTTTTTCAGCAAAACATAAACTTGTAGCTTTTATTACACTTTTCACATCAGCAGTATTTGAATCCATATTATGAAGGGCGATCAGTAACTCCACAGGTGACAGAGAACTCACAGATGGTTCGGATTGTTGTCCTCTATTGACTCCAAGCAACCGATTAAATACTCCTTTCACCACGGGAGGATTCAATCGAACAAGTTTCGGAAGAGCTTTCAAAACTTCATTCTTTTCGAGACCGTTCAAGACTGGTATAAGGAAACGTACATCAGGGACGCGTTTTGCATACAAGTCTGTGACACGCTGCACCAGTTCTACAGTTGGGTGGGTCTTGTCTGTAAGTATATGCAACATTCTAGTAACAAGAGTCTCTGCACCTTTTGGACATCCTTCAACAAGGCGCAATAATTGTGGCGATTCCATTCCCATTTGGCTCACAGGTTTATCAAGGATTCGTAAGACAACTCGTTTCACATCTGCGCTTGTTTTTACATAAACTTCGGCAAGTGTTTCAATTAAATTATGATCCAACGGTAGCAAAGCGAGAAATAATGTCATGCATTGTTTCATTTGGGTTTCCGTCCATGTTGATTTAGCATCTACCGGTGTTCCCTCTGGGACTAGGGTCAAAGGTGGTGCGGAGTTTGATAAATATTCAAGATGAGTGACAGCATATGTTCGGATGAAATCCTGTAATTCAATTTGTAGGAAAATTGATTTTATACATTCAACAGCTTCGGTTTGGGTACTTTCATTTTTACTGACGCAAAGATCAAGTAATAAACGAAGAAACTGCATTTTTCTCGTTATTCTGTAATGCAATAAGTCCTTAACAAGTTTAATTCCCGATTGTGATCTTTTTTCATCTTCGCAATACAAACGGACTTGTTTTATCGCCCCATCAGTTAACAAAGGCGCCTGCATTACCAATTTATTAAAAAGACTGTCTCGTGTTTCTGGTTTTTCTCTGAATCCTTGTAAAAGTCCCGTCAGACAAGCATCGTAATTTTCTTGCGCAGATTTGTCATTCGAGCCACGACTATTTTCTAAATAAATATTGAACTCCTCATACAACCATGCAAATGCAAGGGAAGAACGATTCCTAATATCTTCTAAAATAAACATTGCTAAAGCTCTATGAAGATCTCCACCAAACTGGGCGACAAGACTGGTTAAAATTTTGGACCATTGGGCATGAACTCCGGCAGCGTTAGCAGCTTGTTCCGATCTCAAGACTCTCAAAACTGCATTTTTGATGATTTTATCTTTTGTGTCTAAATCGAGAGGGGTAGTAATACTTTCTAATCGAAAACCCTGGATTCTACGAGGCAAACCACGGTTCGGTACGACTGTCTGAGATGATATCATTGCTTCAATATTTTTCTTCGATTTATCTTGAGCAGTGTCTTCTTGAACTGGTGTTGGTTTTGTTGTTCCTCCTATAACAGTTTGAATTTGTAATTTCTGTTTTCCTTCTTCTTCTAACTTCTTTTCTCTCTTTTTTGCGTCTTCTTCCGCCGCCATTTCAGCAGCCTTTTGCACTCCAGATCCGACACCCATAGCTGTCATTTGTATAGAAAGTAATCTCGCTAAATGACTGATCTGATCCTCTGTGCCCGCGGATTCAATAGGGGTGTATGAAGCTTGAAACGCGTCTGGCATTTTATCAGGCAACATAACCATGCTCAATAATACTAAATTAGCGACATTTTCTGGTGATAATAAAGGGACTAACTGTTTAGCTGTAATATCAATAGCAACACTGTGTTGATTGACCACAGGTTCTGATGGGACAGGGGCAGGTGCTGAGCTCGTAGAAGGTCCTATTTCAACATCATCATCATATTCGTTCACCTCTCTTTTCATTTTTTTATTTCCACTCCCCTCTCCTTTATCTTCATCCGGGCTACGTTTTCGCGAGCTACCGGCACTTTGGCGTTGTGACAATTTCGGCATATTTTTTGCTATCTCAGATGATGTCGTACCCAAGTCATAAAGTAGATTGGTAATTTGTGGATGATATTGTGTTGATGAAAAAAGCCGTAACATGTTCATTAGTTGCATTTTCAAATGTTTTCTCACGCTCGCGACTTGAGTTTTTGCCAGTGTTGGTGGTAAATTTGCATGTAATGCTTCAAATGCTTGTACTACCGTCCCCATAAATTGTGGTCTTTGCTTTGCGATGGCTGATAAGGTTCCCATGGCTGCCATAAGATTAACGCTCGATATAGCAGGATTAGCAATAAAACCCAACAATTTCTGAAGAGCTATTTCTCCGTCTGCTTTTAGTTCATCCCGTTTTAGTAATGCATGATTTAATGGAATCTCATCAATAGAAGACGCAGGTTCTGTTTTCTTAGGTACCTCTGATCCTCGCTGTATCTCTGACAAAATCAAGATCACTTTTTCAACGAATTTAACAGTTTGGGTTCGGACTCCGTCATTGACAGAATCCAGTAATTCGTAAATATGATCTCGAATATTGCATGTCACTTTCCAACAAGCTTTATGACTGTCAGAGATGAAACTACCCTTTGTTAACCAATAGATCACAATTCTAAATAACTGTGTCATAGACTGAATGAGTTTTTTGGTGACATTCGCATTGGTATCAGCGAGTAATAAATTTAAATTCGCCATTACTTTCATGAGAAGTTCATTATCTTTTTTGCAAGCCTCTTCCATGAATCCGACAACAAATTTTCTAACGTCATGCGACCTATCAGCTTGGAATGCTAGAACTTCATCAGTAAAACTATCCAGTAATGCTGGTTCTTTATTCACAATTAATTCCTGAACTTGTTTGAGTTTGTTAACTTTGTCAGGGTCCGTTAAGGCCATAGAAGCCTGATTTAACAGATCAATTACTCTTTCTGATGTTGACTGATGAGAAGATGCTGACTCATCATCTTGGTCTTTGGAATTCGATGACCTTTGCGATTTTGTACCAGTTTTTTTGGGTTTCCCCATATTGGTGATCGGAATAAATAAATATTAGGTTAAATATATGGATGTTAGGTAACGGATCTGGAATGTGAATGGTTTGATTAGTATCATAATACAGTACAGCACACCTTACAGATTGAGAAACATTGTCACGTTTCAGAGAATCCCATAAACAAGGGAAAGGACGTCTGGACATTGTCACCTCTAAAAATAGTAAAATGAAGCAAAAAACTACGAAGAAGCTAGAAAACGTCATCATTGAGTTCCTCAGGAAAATATAATCCGATTTACTGGAAGAAAATTTTTTTCACCATGACATTTTAGAGTTTTTAGCAAATAATGGCAATTTTGATCATCCGGGATTAATGTAGATTATTATCGAGACAAGCATGGCCCGATATGATGCATCTGCATTGCCGTTTTGCACGCAAGCCCCTCGTTCCTGAGACACATAGGAGTGTTTATTTTATTGAACCAAATGAAGAGACATTCTTGGAATTTGAAAGTGTGCCCTACTGTAATAACCATACATACATAACTACAAATTTAACAAAACAATATGTCAAAAATAAATGTTATATATTTCACTTCCGAAGTATGTAAACTATCAGCTGGCTATTCGCATAACTAATCTTAAAAATAATAATTGAGCAAGGTACTACTGTTTGGCGTTATTTAAGCAGTTACAGTGTTTATTCCGCAAAGTCCGCCAAAAAAATATTACTCCCTACGATGCCACAGTAATGTAATGAGGCCATCCGAGGTATACCACAGTACTAACTGTCATCCAAGACGCACAGACAATCAATCGAAATCGAGCAAGCTGTTTTACTCGGCGTAACGATCCCGATATGTGAGAGATCGCTAGCGTTAGTGAGTTCGTTATCGTTAAACAAATAATAGCATTTTTTTTACATTCGATAAATGTGCATAATAAGGGGGACTCAAATGTAATAATACACAAGTTTCATAATCAATTAAATTGTTTCTGCCAGTTATTTTCACGATAATCAGAAAACATACGGTACCGTACCTGCATACGGTAATCATATACCTTGGCCTACGGTATTGTTTTTCAAATGGACAATTCATGAACAAATGTGATACTAATTCTGTTTCTATAACACACAAGTCATTCCCAGCGGCGGCGGTGTGGCTCAACGGGCTAGGCGTTAGGAATACGCTCGCCACCGCACCTCTAATTACTCTGCGTGGGCTCGCAGGTTCGAATCCCATGCAGGGATGGTTATGTGCGAGAGGATTGCTGGACTCCTCGCCGTCGTTGAGTGGTTCACGTAAGCGCTGGTCGGTTACGGCTTCCTCCACCACCAAGTCCATGCTTCCGAAAACAAATAATACAGTAAAACTAATCCCATACCCGACTTGGAATGGTAACCCGACGAGAGGCCGTGGTTCGCCATATGGATAAGCCGTCTTATCGGCTTTCCTCTCCCCCGGGATAAATATGTAAATCCTATCCTATCCTAGATACACTTTCTGACTTTTGAGCGGCAAAATATTCCACATTAATTTATAATTATCGTAAATTTTTTTTTTTATAGTTCCTCGGTGTGGATTGATCAATTTTTTAGGTATAAAAAAATTAATAAATACCGTTAAACAACGATAAATAAATAATAGGCAATTGAAATTCGGATATTTTTATAAACGCCTCAATTATAAAAAAAAATGGCGCTGACCGAACTGAAACGGACTGCATTCTACGACCCACATAAACCTTTGCCACAATCACTCAAATATTTGAAATCAATGCAGATACGGTGGATAATAGAGCGCATGCAATACTTTTTTTAAATCAAAAATTCCTTTATTTACAATAATTTCACACTTGGAAATAACATTATTTGTTTGATTCGTACAAGATGTGTTTTAAAAATATATATTGATGCATTAATGATCATAAAATTTGGCAACCCTCGAACAAAGAAAATAAATTGCTGACGTCTGACATCTCGCGGTTGTAAATAGGTCAACTGGGATCCGTACATGATTTATGATCAAAATACGCAACGAAAGTTTTCTAATTGTGTTAGATTTATATGAGTTTGATATAAAAAAAAATGTCATATATTGGTCTAAAAATTTAAATGTTTCGGATAAAACTTTTCATTTTTCCGTTTCAAGTTCTTGATTGGTTTGGTCTGCTCTTTTAATTCTTGACTTTTCTTCGTTTATGTCCAATTATTTATTTATAGATATGCAGATTTTTGTGGATGACATCCCGATGGTGTTTGCAGCTTAAACAAAGCTTTGAAGGCTGAATCATAGGCTAATAGCTGTGACGCTCGACGAATGGTGATGTCATTTTCAGAGATCACAAGATTCAAGGGAAATCCCCTTTTTAAGACTCATTTTACATGCAGGTGAATTACCGGGAAATGATATAGCGGGCTTCAGGCCACGTATATCGGGCAGAAGTAGGCGTAATAAAACCCGATGAAGGGTTAATTTGGCAGCAACTTGGTATATCGGGGTGACAGTATATCTTTCAAACTATGAAGCCATGGCACAGCAAGTAATTCGACCGTCAACACCTCCAGCCTTTGACGAAATACTCAACGAAATCAGATCATGCCATGCTAAATCAGTGTCTCTAGCTTCGCAGGCTTTGGCACAAGATGATGCAAACAACAACGCAGACGCTATGGCACTTTATCTTCAGGCTTTGAGACATAGTGAGAATGGTTTGAGACACAATATCCACGATTTTGAACAATCCAGTGCAGGATGGGAACAAGCCAGGCAGATGCAAGAACAGATCATATCAACCATAGCTAATATAAGACAGAGAATTTATCATTTACAATCTTTTGATGAATCAGGTAATCAAGATGTTCCACAGCTCGAAAGCCCGCCTACATATTCTCTACATGACCCCCTCTCATCTCAGTCTGGTCCCCAATTCCACGATAGTGACATTATGGCCGATCCACTTTTATCTATCGAGAGTGGCGCACAAATATATTTTGTCTCAGCAGAGAGCCAAGTAGAATCAATGCCTCCGTCTTACCCAGCATCCTTACAAATTGTATTATTGAAGGAAGATTCTGTAACACCAGGGGGACCTCAAGCTATACTTCAAGTCGGAGACTGGGTGTATCCACTCGCAAATAACCAGATGCCGGTTTTGAAATCTGCGAACGGTGCCTATATGTTCCCTAAGTGCACAGAAGATGGAATTCAAGAAGGGTACGCAATAGGGGTCGTAATTTCGAGCAATGTGTCGAGAGATTATGTGGAAATGTTTGAGAATATTCTTCAAACTTATGCTGCTTTTCAAATTGAAAATCCAGACGAAGGATTTGTTGATTTATCAGAATTTATTGGAGCATTTTCAGAAGCGGATGATTACATTCCGCCAAGCATGAGTGACCGCATGGCAGCATCGGTAACAAATGGAGCGACCGCTTTGTCCCAACATGTCCGAAATGGGACAGACTATGCTACCAATTTAGTTGAAAGCAGTGCAAACAATATTAAAGCAAAGTTGACCCCAGCAGAAGGGAAAGTAACGGTCAATCCATATATCAAAAGAGGCCTTGAATATACATACAATGCAGCTGATACCACAGTCCGGGTGAAAAATTGGTTGGTTCAGTGGTTATGTTCGATCACAACTTCAGTTGGTCAACAAGTTGCCCCATATTTCACGAAGGCAATAGAAGATAGCCCAGAAAATACGAGCACTAATGTGTACGGTGCGTTAAAAGTGGTGAAATCGGGGCTTGCAGGATTCGGTAAAATCTGGACAGAACTGGAAAAAGCCGGCTCAACCATTGCCCAAGCCGTTACCACAGCAACAGTTAAGAATATGGAATATAAATATGGACCAGATGCAGCGGAAGCCACAAATCTAGCCATGGGGGCCGCAGTGAATCTTGGAGCTACGGCATTTGCACTTGATAACTTGGGCACTAAGGTTATAGCTGATATAGCAGCGAGTTGCGATGAACAAAGAGTTGAATATAAATCTGCAAATGAAACGGTTTCTTTTCATAACAGTTTTAAAGATGATCAGCAACCGGACAGTTTCAGAAATATCTGATATGCTCAAGTCTTTGTTTCTGTTCAATCACATTTATCAGGGTAAATTGATGTCGGCCTAGCACATCACAATAATGTCCTCAATATTTTATCTATTCTATTATCTATATTTCAAGTTTACCCAAAACATTTGATAAATTGATAAGCCGTAATGAAACCTTCAAAATGTAGAAGCTTACTCTACAATTATTCTGAATCAAAGAGCAAACCCAAACAAAGAATTGTGTATTCTAGGGTTTGGAATGTATTTACGGCCTTGCTCAAGAAGTTATTGCTACTAAGCCAATTTGTATACTACGCTCCGCTATATCAACCTTAGCAGTCGGTTTAACCACGATCTTGCCTTACCAGATGCTTAATCAGTTCCGAAGAAGTTCCATTTTCGTCAGTTACAGTAAAGTATGAAATATAATGGCTATTATATCCTTTTTGCACTTATATATATATATATATATATGGGTGTTACTGCAATTATTTTTTTTATAAAATCTTATCTGTATTGTTTTGCAATTGCAACATAAAGACTGTTGAAATTAAACCCTATTATAATTAGCAATCTCTTCAAATAAATACTTTATACTTGTTATAAATGAAACGTTATTGGGGAATGAGCCAACCTTCAAATCAAATATTTAAAGAGACATTTCACTGAGTCTCTCTGGCTCATTATCAATGGGGTCGTATATGGGTACTCCTGTAGTGTGTGTATTGGGTTAGGCCATAATTTTATTCAGATTTTCCTTAGTAAACATACCCCATAGCTTTCAGTACCTACACACAACTTGATGTAAACTTCATATTGGTACGCACACTTCTGGAGCGCCCATTAATGCCCTATTTCAGATTTGTAAGTTTTAAAAATAAATATTTATCTGATAACTGTTCTTGTGTTTGAAAAAATATATCATGATTGAGATTTTTTTGTAATTTATTTAATAGCAGAAGTGGTAGAATTAAAAGGCGAATAATGTTTTTCGAATACCGGAGGGGAAAAGATGAATTCATTTATTTGCTCATTTTGGAATATCAATCTCTTATATTTACTGAGACAAGAGCGATTGAATGCCTGAAACCTAGCTTTGAGCAAAATTGTAAAAGAAATAATAGCAGATAAAAATTGGTTCAAAAACTACACATAACCTATGCATAGCTTTAGTACTTCAGCAGTTCTATCATTAGTACTCTTCCTAATTTTATATTTAGGGCCAGAAACCTAACTTTGAGCAAACTTGAACAAAAATAATAGCACTAATAATAGGCACTAATTCAAATTTAGCCGCTGGCAGTCATCTTTAACAGATAATGTGTACAAATGTACGAGGGCAGAATACATGCTCAAGGTGCGACCACTTTTTTGGAATTCTACCACAAATAATGACCACCACAGGGCCCTAGAAATCAAGAGCTCCATGGTGCTCTGATCCACTTTTGATACCAAGCTGTGTTGAATAATTCACCAGTCTTCATTACAGCCATTTCCATTTTAAGTTTTTACTGTCTTAGGTTTTCCGCCAGTTCTTTTATTGAATTTCTTATTCCCTCGTTGATTTTTGCCACCTTTTCTTTGGCCCTTCGGTTTATCACTCTCACGACTGAAATTGAAATGGATAGTATCATAAGATCAGAGTGGATAAACAAATGCCAGCCCACCAGCAGGGCTTGATATTCATTGAATAGAGCAAAGATGTGCACAGTTGAACCAGAGGTACTTTGATAAATCATACTTTCATAAAACCAAATTACCGGAAGTACAAAGCAATGTCACAACCAACCCCTTGGGCAGTTCTTTTTGAGCCATAAACGAAACATGCTTCTACTGCTTTTACCTTTAACTACCACCAACAATTTTAAGAGTCAAAGATGGAGGTTTTTTTCATACTTTCCCTCATTTGTTTATTTTAACCCAAATTTTGTTATTAGATTACATCGAATTGATTAGATCTTGGCCATGGCTGTATGTTTCCCTTCAATTTCATATATTTTCAGCCATGGACGTCACTTTGTCGGGGTCAGGCAAAAACTTCCACATCGACTCACATAAAGACAATTATGGAGGAGTAGGCATAAGGCCAAAATAAAATAACAACTCTTTGAAATCTGTCAACACAATTTTCAATTCTGCAAAACATTGTATACAGATTCAACTCGTCAAGAATAAAAAACATGTTTCTCAAATGTGGCAAAGAGTACTTTCAATTTGTAGGCTTTGGTTTGTGCTTTCTTTTGAACATTAATGAGAGTGACCAACAAATAAAAATCCTTCAATCACAATTCAATAAATTAGCTTTGATTTTAAAATTCAAATATTCGAAAACCTGAAATTAGAATAAGGTAAGCAGAAATAAAACAAAATTCACCTTTTATTTTCTTCATGAATAATCTTATTTGCTGCTTTTTCTTTGTTCAACTTAGGTTGATTACTTGTTAACTGACTCAAAATTTTGAGTTGTCTGCTTTTTTCTGTTTCAAGACTTCCCACAACTGGATCGAACTAAAAAAAAGATATAGAAATAAATTCGAATTTACTGTCTTTATAATGGATGTTTCCCCCTTGACTCCAGAAATATCTGTCTGTGCGAACAAAGTGTCTGAGCGGATGCAAAAATTGACTATGACAAATATGACTATATCACTTTTCTGTGACCCACCTCAAAATGGTTGTGAACCGGACAGTTAGAAAATTGATGAAGTCCGCATTAAAATAGATTATAGTCAATTCTACACTTAATATAAAATTACTCACTTTTCTCTTTTTACCCATATTCCGCTGTGGTTTCTCATTTTTCTGAATTAGAAAATAAAAATGTATGATTCCACTTTCTTCTGTAAAAACAGTCTTCTCACTCACAAAGAATCCACCAAGTAAATAATCAATAACATTGAAATTGCAAGTCACTCAAACAAGTAACCAATGAAATGCTAGCAGTTACAACAAGCTCAAATATATATCAAAATTCATATCACTTCAAAATTTATTCCACATAAATAATTCGATAACATTAAAATTGTAGCAATTCATTTTTGAAAGCCATGAAGTGAAGTTTGGGTTATTGGAGTATTCTGGGTTATTATTAATGTTGAATTTAAGAATTTACTATGAAATATATACCACATGAACTTTAATATTCGATTTATTCTTGGACATTCCAAATAAGTCACCAATGAAAAGCTAGCGGTTAAAACAAACTCAACTATATGTTAAAAGTCATATCGCTTTGAAAATTACTCTATATCCTAGCTAATTTTCATTTCATCTCATTTTCTTTTGTCATTAATATAATGTATTTATTATATTTATATATATATAGGGTGTCCATGAAGCCTTAAAATATTTAGTAAAATCGCAAAGGGAATTCATCGATACCATATAATATTGTTTTGGCTGTCACAGATGTATTGAATGAAGTAAAAATACTTGAAACAATTACTGAAAAAAAAAAAAACTTGGTTAAGATATATTGAGAACGGACTTCATAACAAAATTGAAATTATAAAGAGACGCTATGGACACCTTGTATATTATATTTATCATTGCTCATAAATAGCATGTGTACCTATGTGAGGATATCCAGGAGCCGCTATCAGTCTTGTAAAGTGACTCACACATAACAGTGATCAAGTCCATGCATCTGAAACAGGCATTTGGTTAACTACTACTATATGTGACTGCCACATGGACCCCTGACCAGGGGTGATCGAGGCCGCTTTATCATTTTTTTTTCTCCCATGACAAATACAGAAATCTTATTAACGACCAATTACTGTATTATTTTTTTTTTCCGTTTTGACGTAAATTTATAAATCAGTGTGCAGTCTCTCTCGTCGCAGTCAATACAATACTTTTGCTCCGTTATACTACATATAAAGAATATGTATATACTTACTATTTTATCTTCAAATCTTCCCAAAGAAGCTGTTGATCTTTTAGCAACATGAAATTGAGATTCAAGCTAAAAAACAAAATATTTGTTCACAATAACCTTCCACAGCATACTCAGACTGTCCAAATAATTGAAATACTCATTTCAATGCAATTAATGCAATTCAAATAATTTCAAAGATTTTTTCTATTTTTGCAAATCATGGTTCAAGTAAGATATCCTATCCTGGTGGAGTTCTGGCAAATAAGTTTCTGAGAAATAAAAAAATTTAATATTCAAAATGGTAATGCATTCCGACAGAAAATTCTAGGATATAAACTATTTGTTTCATTACTTTATATGGTTATTTTACAAGTTGTTCTCAAATTGTTAAGTATGAATTGTTTGAACATAATGGGATTTGAAATCTACCAATAAAAACACCATTATAAATTCCGGTGAATTGATAAACAGGCAGGCCATGTGTGCTAAAAGCCCGCAGAAAAAGGCCACAAGCCATAAATGATTGGAACCACTGGTTTAACATATTTTTATTGATATTAAGGCCAGAGCCATACATCCAAGACAAAAAAGAATTTAAATTTAATGTAGTCAGAGATATCAGGTTTTTGACTTCTAATGGTACTAATTAAAATTATAATTCTCTATAGAAACTGAAACAGCATCAAGTCTTTCCCAACAAACGAGCATTCAAAGCCACAGTTTTTCGTTCAAAACGTGGTTTCCTCAAAGAGGCCAGACCAAATATTTGTCAGTCAGGAGTTTGAACTCCACAACCAAGGTGGCAAAAAAGATACCCTACCTCTTTGGTAGACTGTTTTTTGCCTGTGACTGCTCCAGCACCAGGCATTGGTCTTCCTGTTCTCTTAGCAATATTACGCAATCTTTGTAGTTCATTCTTTGCAACCCTCTCTTTCTTTGCTTTTGATCTCTTTTCAAACTGATCTTCATATGGATCTAGAGTGCCGAAGAAATAAAGTTTCGATTTACTGTAAGTTGGCGTTACACGGGGGGATGGATCTTCAGTGATAAGTTTGCACCTTGGCTTCACAATTGTTAAGAACTAAAGTAAATAACTCATTTTCCCCTTTTGCGAACAAAGTCATCTTGCGATTATCATTTTTATATGACTGCTATTCGCTGTTCAAATATGATTTTCTGAAGACGTCTTACTTCGGTCTGATGAAAAGTCACCGAAACATAGTGTGCGATAGTGTACAACTATATTCTTGATTTGAAGTTTAAAATGGCATCATTTCAATCATCTGACTGATAAATGTCTTAGAGGCCATGGTTTTCCATATGTGAAACATTTTTAAAATATCATTTACTAAAGCAAATCGCTTATTTCAACTTTAAAATCAGCAATAATGAGATTCATGAATAATAAACAGGATAAAAGCATTATTACGGGAATCGTTCGGGAATACCGAACATTCAAAGGTTTTCTAGTTTTATTCTCACCTGCGTTACTTGGAACTTCGAGAACCCATTCCTTTGATTCATCATTTGCTCTCTTGTAACCAAATCTTGGTTTCCAATCCTGTAGAAAAACAATTTTTTCTAGTTTTTTCAGTTCATACCTTCACTCTTAAGACCTAATACTAGCAGAAGATATAGCAAAGCCAGACTTTGAATGGCCAACTGTAACGATTTGTTAAAACTTGACCAATCTCTTCCATCACGGCTGTAGCTAAAACAATGACCAACTATTATAAACAGATTAGACGAAGCTTAGAGATGGACAAAACTTACACGATTTTATATTGTATGGGTAACAAGTTGTCTTGCTAATGTAAACCCCAGTTGAAGTAAGCAATATCAGCCAGAATAAGATGAGAGAGTGCCCTGCAGTCTGGGGCATCCTGCTAAGCGTTAGGAAGACGCTCGCCACCGCACCTCTGTCTGCATGGGTTCCATGTGGGGATAGTAATGTGCCAGAAGATTGCTGGACACCTCACCACCATAGGGTGGTTCATGTAACCGCTGGTCGGTTACGGCTTCCTCCACCATCAAGTCCATGCTTCCGAAAACAAAGTGCTGGCTAACTAATCCCTCAATCTGACATGGACTGGTAACTAGATGAGAAGCCATGGTTCATCATATGATTAAGCCGTCTAAGACTCTCTCCGCCAGGATAAATATGTTAATCATATAGGCTACAGTTTTGAAACTAGAAGTTTTATCCATGACCATGTGAGTAAGGTTTAGTAATAATTGATCCAAAACTATTTTGATCTTACAGCCAGGTTACATAAATAACTTACTTTGGCGGTTTCATCCCAAACCATTGCACCTCTTTTCCTATTTTGAATTCCCTGTTAATTGAAAAATAACAAATATTATTGTTTTAAATAAACTCAATATTTCCTATCCATTAATAATAAGAAGTAAACAAAGAAAAATTTCTTAGCCAAATATGATCAAATTCCATTTACCTACTTCATATTCCAATTTAGAAAATACTTTATAAAAGTAACAGAATAGTATATTATCCAGTTTTTGGCATCTATGGCGTAAACTACCGTAATTGCTTTTTTATATTCTTGTACTATTCACCCAATACCAGGTCATAGTCTAAGCAGGGGTTCTCAAACTTTTGGTGTTATGAAGCCCGTGGTATTATTCAGAGCTTCACAATGAATTTATAAAATAAAAACCAAAAAACACATTGTTAGTTTGTTACACACCAATTAATGTTCCTGAGTAAATTAAAATCACTTTTTTAATGACTCAGATGTATTTATTGCTTTTTTGGACAGTTACAATATTAGCCAAGTCAGTATTCTAAGGAGTAAACAAATAGCTCACAGAGCCCCTAGGTTTCTCCCGCGGAGCCCTGGGGCTCAATATGGGGCACTTTGAGAACCTATGGTCTGAAGGCATAAAAAATTCTCTCTACAACTGTGTTGCATAAACTATAATTATTTACCTTCAACTGTGCATACTGTTGCCATTTAGTCAGAGGTTTTGGTTTTGGAATCTAGAAATAAAATGCAGGTATTAGAAAAGTATAAATACGGAATTGCTGCTTTATTATAATGGTAAAAAATGGTACCTTCTTTTCTCTTGGTAATACTGTTGTACAATCAGGCAACTGAAAAAAACAATAGCAAACACTCAATAAAACTTGATTATATTTAATAATGATGAAATGATACATTTTTACATACAATTAGATTAAAGACCAACAATTATAAGTAAGAACATTATTGATGGAAGAGTTGCTAGTTTGCTGAAAGCAAAGTCCAGGGGTGTGCAACATTTTTTGTCCGTGGGCTATATAACCAACTTCAGGCATCTAGCCAGGCCACACAAGGTGAAGAGAATGTGGCTATCACTCAGCCTTACAGTAATGAAGGTGCTGGGCAAATAAGAGAGAAAAATTTAATGCAGCGACAAGAGCAAAAAACATTAGGTAGCCTATGTATTTTACCCATGTGAGCGACTTTATAAACATAAACAGATTAGGACTTTATACTTGATGGGGGAAAATCTGAGAGTTGACAAGGGCCACACAAAAAGCTATAGCGGGCCGGTCCTGTTGCACACTCCTGCTCCAGTATGAAAGGTGCATGGAAGTTTCTAACCCCACTGACAAACAAAGAGCACTGAACAGGATCATCTTTGCAATTACCTTTGACAAGTTATCCCTGTCAGAAAATGGCTAAGTGGGAACTCTACAGAGCAGAAAGTTTTGCAAACAAACAAAAAAATCATATTGACAAGAGGACAATGGCTTTAATCTAAAGGACTAGCTAATAGTCATAAATCCTGTTGCCAGGAACACTATCAAAGTTTGATCGATCATATTTTGAACTGCAGCTTGCTTACAGCCCAGTTCTGAGCAAAATGTCTCATTGGATTTTCAAACAAGATTGTAAACTCAAGATTAGATTCATATTAATCATGAAAGTATGGTACATGAAAAGGCGCTCTAGAAGTATGTGTACCAATATGGAGATAACTAATTTTGTTCGCCTACTTTACATCAAGTTGTGTAGAGGGACTGAAACCTATAGGCAGGGGGAATATTTACTTGTCTCACACAGACAGTCCCGAACTCGTAAAAGAACTAAAATAAGGAAAATCGGAATAAAATTATGGCCTAACCCTAACCTGGTACACGCTACAGGAGTACCCATGAAAATTTTTTTTTTCATTATACCTTGGCAACTATGGCTTCTTGTACTCGTTCAACTGGTAACTGTAAAACAAAAATAGCAATTATTACTTTTACAACATTATCAATGAAGCACTAATGTTGCCATTTATCCTTCATTGATATTCAGGTTGAAAGACGAGATTGAAACTTTTTACACTACAGATTGAAGATGACCATAAAAGAATCAAATTCTGATATGTCAGAACCTGAATCACATTACTAAGAGTCCGATTTTATATCTCCAGGACCAGACTCCACAACAGTGATTTCTTTTCTCAATAAAATCAATAGGATAGGGGAAGATTTATATATTTATAACACAGCTTAATCATATGGTGAACCACAACCTTCCGTCTGGTTACCAGTCCATGTCGGGTATGGGAATAGTTTAGTTAGTCAGTTATTCGTTTTCGGATGCATGGACTTGATTACCTAATTCGAAATCCTTCAAGTATAACAATTATTTAGTATTGCCAATTCTCTGTTGCAAATATTAAAACAAAAACAACTTTCTCACTTTCCATATTTCATTAAATAGCAATTGTGTGTTGTCTCTTGTTAGTTTCTTGATGTAGTCTTCTGAATTTTGCCTGAAAAAAAATGATTGAAAACTGATAATTTGTATGACTACAAAAACTAGGCACAGATTCAGTAAACACCGTTCCCTTATATGGCCAGTTGATGCGAACGGAATGTGCGATTATGCGAAGGTCCAGTGCCAAAGGAGCTGATTAAAATTGGGAAACAGTAAAAAGTGGCGGCCAGCATAGCCAAATAGCATTCTAAACCAATTCATTTTAATCAAGTTGAGCAGGTGGGTCTGGAATAGTACAAGGGCTTGGTTCAACAATTTTTGCATATGTAATTCCTACCCCCCATTTGACTACGTCATCAAAAAATTATGTCACTATGATGACTTCACTGTGACACAATAAGGCCCGGCAAAATATACGAACAGTTATTCCAACCGTGTAGATGCTTACCCTAAACCGAGAAAGCTTTGTCGTCAGGTAGGGTTGGGAATAAAATATGCAAAAATAGTTATTCCACGTCCACTAGAAGTACTAAAGAGGCACTAAACTACACTAGACCCAAGATTTATTATGCTGACAATTCTATTTCGTTTATTGTACAAAAGATCAATTCATGATGCAAATTTGACAAGTTACTGAGCTAGCAAATGGTATAAAAATGCAACTATCCTCAAAAAGAGAAAAACGTGCAACTTAGACAGTAAATTCCTGGAATGAGATTGAGTAATTTCATAACTATAATCAGCTTGGCAATACATTTTTCATAAAAGTTTATCTCTACTGTTCACTCCCATTTATAAAATCTATCAATTCGGCAGCAAACATTATAAATTTATTAATATAGTGTGGCAAGTAATTTTTATTTATTTTTTTTTAACTACCCGTATGTAATTTATAACTTCTGTATGGTTGTGAGTGTGGGTGCGTGTGTGAAATATACCCATTATTTTAGGTGAGTGAACACGTACCACTTCTTCTTGGCAAAACCTTCCATCTTGTATACATTCTGTACGTTTTAAACCTTATCTAAGGTTTTGTTTGCTCTCCTGATTTCATAATCAGTTTTTATTTATTTTTTTTACCAATCATTTTATTGTTATGCTGATTATGGAGTCGAAATAAACGTATACTAAAATAGATAGATAGGTATGTAGTTTATCAGTTATTTGAAAGTATAGGTTTAATATAACTTGATTATACCAGCATACACACAAGAAAAATCTGGTATCGAGCATCAACAGCAAAAAAGTAAAGAAACAAAATTGTTCTTCCATATACTGTTTACTTTAAAACGTGTGCACTAATACACCAGTATAATATTAGATGTATCTTACTTGAAAGCTTGTGAATCCAGTAAATTTGAGTCCGTTGCAATAAGATTTCCCAGGTCGAATTCGAGGTCAATATCTTTCTCAACAGTGATAGATTTTAATTTTTCTTTCTCCTCTTCAGTTATATTTTTTAATAGTTGTGACGCATCCGCAGCAACTTCCTCCATTTTGTGTAAAATTGAATCACAAAATGACGAAAAAACGGCGAAATTTAGCAGGACAGATATTAAAACTTTGTCGATTTAGGGAAGTGTTACCAGATTGGAGTAAATCACATTTGACATTCTTGCAAAATTTTTACTAAAAGTAACATTATAAAGTTTTGATAAGTTTCCAAAATTGAAAAAAAAAAATACAATTATAGAAACATCAATTTTATGCAAGTCTGTTGGGGATTTGTTACTTAATTGCAAATTAAAAAAAATTAAATTCCTGTATATCTGACAACCATCAAAATTACATGCCACAATTATGACCACCGATGCGTATATTTTGTCCGACAATTAGTTTTATTTTTAACAGATTTTATACAAATTTTTACGTTCCAATTGTACAGTTTTCGCAATAATTCATTTTTTTCGATAATTAGAAACTTAAAAAAATGGATTTAAATAGTTTTAAAATTTCGCACCACAAAACAAATTTTTATGGCTCTTTCATAAGTACCCATGGGCGTCATCTCGCGGATGTGGTTTATGCCAAAATTTTGTCTTTTCGTTCTCGTTTCGTGAGAGTTGCCCGCTTTGCAACGCCGCACTTGCTAATCTGTTTGCTAGAGCTTCGTCGATGGCTTGGTGCATCTCGTCACGACCTGTTTTTGAAAGTTATATAATTTTTAGAGAACACGTTTTCGTTACTAGATTTTAAATTAGGGTTGAGAAGTTTATATTGCAGTTCATCAGAGTGCTATGCTCGCAGTGCTAAGCTTGAGTGTTCACTGGTTTAGTGGATTTGGAACCAAATTGGACTTGAGATCGCAGAATTTATTAACGAAATTGTGAATCATTACTGCATTAAGACGATGACGGCACTTTAAAAAAATTTGTATTCAAACCTTAGGTCTAATCAACTTGAGAAGATAACAAAGACAGAAAGAAAATTTATAAATAATAATATGAATAATATTATTTATAACAATTTTGTTAGTTTTGATTAACGTTAAATCTATTTCTGTATTCCAAAAGATATAGCTCAATATTCAGATATTGCCCTCCGTTTTCAGGTCTTAGACTAAAAGGATTGTGTCCTAGGCAGTTTTTATCATTGAAAAGATACCGCTTAGTTCTTTCCAATATAGTCTAATTGAAGCCATTTTAGCATTTTTTTAAGATTACATGATTAATGGCCTAAATTGATTTTTAGATCAATATCCATATATTACAAAATATCTATATTTAATCTTTTTGCAATAATTTTATTTATTTTGAATTAATCATTCTGACTTTTAAAATAAATTTAAAAATCAATTCCGCTTGTCTTTGGCAAAACCTTTCAACCTATATTTTGTACGCTTTGAACATTACCTAAGGTTTTGTTTGCTATCCTGATTTTATAATCAGTTATCAATTAATTATCTTATCATTTGTTATACTGATTATGGAGCCGAAATATACTTAATTCATATAACTAATAAAAAATAAATAAATATCCCAGAATGCGCACTTCAAGTCTCGTCAACTGTCTCACCTTTCAAATACTTGATCTATAATCAATACCTCATAAGCATTGGAGTGAACGTAATGTGAAGTAACATGATAGACTTTTGTTGTTCAGTTATGCATATAAATCAATTTAAACCGCAAAGTATTCTTGTTAAGAGGGTAATTACGCTACAAAGTTTAGATTTCAATACAATGCATTTGTAACTTACGCATGGAAGAAAATAGATTTTCTGGAACTGTGTTGTGTGCAAAGAAGTTTTATCTGGTTTCTATTAGATAGTAGCATTAGGTGCACGCTTGCTCAGGTTGGCGGGTTCGAACAATATTTTATGCTGATAATCGTTTTTTTTGAGTTCAACTAATGATCCTTTTTCTATGCCCTAGAGGTGGTCAATCTGTATTATCCATGGATGCTGAAACAAGAGGGAAAATATCTATTGTGGGTTATTCAAAGAGTATTGCAACTAGAAATTTGAAACACTTGCAACATTTACAACTGATACTTTAGTTTATTCTATTCCTTAAAGGAACTTTTCAAATTATATTCATTTTTCACGATTTTTCATACCAAATCCTAGGGGTATGAGTATGACCCAATATATTCCATTTCAACTGGATTTTAATATTCTTAAACGTTTAATAAATGTAGTATTCAATAACACTTACAGTATAAATTACTATTTAATAGTATGGTTTTATCATCTCGGAGAAATTACCAAATTGCATTCAGTTCCCTTAGGTCGTTTTCAGCTGAGCAAGGTTTTTATTGATGCATCTATTCCCTTCTAATTTGTCTCTAGAGATATTTTCTAGACTTGTTGCTTAATGATTAAGAAACGATTATCTATTGGTGTCCGTTCTGTTTTATTTTGAATAGCCCAGAAGAAAAATTGGAATAAACATTAGTCTACGTATTACTAAGAATAAGTTAGAATATTTCACATGATTTAGAAAGCAACAGTTTTGTATCTTCTAAGTAAATGAGTTTGAAAGTGCAGATTAGAGGAAAATGTCATTTTTGTCATTATTGTAGTCCAGTCTATTTTGGTATGAATCTTATTTTAATGTGGTAGTCAATGAAGTGGAACCATGCAGCTCTGCTACACATTATTTAAGATGGTATTATTCTGGCGAGCTATGCTTCATTGATTTCGAATGGTTGAGTCCTGAGTTGTATTAATTCATCAATTTTTTTAAGTAATGGGAAATTGTCTTCTTGTCAATATAATAATTACTCAAAGAGACAGAAAAAGATATTTTGATATATTTTTGTATTACGAATATCATTAAGTATTTCTTAGTTTATAGGATGTCATATTGTGTGTCACTTTTATTTCTACTCTTTGTCATTTCAAGTATTCAGTACATTTCGATCAAATTTAGGCTTTGTATGCCTAATATAGTATTATGAAAATCCATTTCGGAAAATCTAATTTACTTACTGTATTTTATATCCAGGGCCCTACTTTTAACTTTAATTCGTGCAAACCAGAAACAGTTTTCAGTCCTCATTTTTCCAGCATAGATTAGGTGAATTATCATACTTTAATAGCAATGCAATCTAGCTACCTAGGCAGGTAATTATAACCTTCGTTCTGGAATGTACTTTGAGAAATGGTGAGCCATGCAAATCTTGTTGCAGAAATTGATTACGTCAACAGCATGTCAACTGAAGACAGGTAAAAAAGTTTTTAGTGTTGATATAATGAGGATTTAATTTTTCTGTGTGTGCAACCATGGCATTATATTTAAATAATGAGCAAAATATCTATCTGGAGGAAAGCATTATTGGCCAGGTGGTGTGACACATTGTAATAAGCATTAGAAATATGCTCGCCACCGCACCTCTGATTACTCTGCATTGCTTCGCACTTTCGAATCTTGTGGGGGATGATTATTAAAAGAGGATTGCTGAACTCCTTGCCGCCGTAAGGTGGTTCACATAACCGCCAAAAGTCAAGGAGACTCGTCTCTACAAAGTTATGGTCACACCACTGAAAGAGCTAATGAAACTATATTGAAATAGGTAGCGCATTGGATGCTAGCCATTGGCGTGAGATGTGAAGGGGTTCAATTCAATACGACCAGAAAAACAGCTATTGAATAGAGAATTCCATTTCCACTAAAATTATTTTGGCATATTTTTGTCATATTATCAGCATTTGACATTATTTCTAACAAAAATATATTTTCAAGGCTGATCCATGCAAGGCAACGTCGACAAGAACAACTTCAGCGTTGGAAAGAATCCGAGCTTGAATATGAAAAAGATAAGGCAGGATTATCAAACGGACAAATAGCAAATGATAACAAAAGATCAGTTAAATTTGGAGATAGTGTTACATTACTTGAAGCTGCCGCTCGAGACGATGTAGATGAAGGTAGAACACTTTGTATTATGCAATAATTCCCACTTCATGCATGTAAATTACACAGACTAACAAGATGTTTGATTAAGGATCAAATTAAAGTCCTAACCATGCAAGCTGAAAATGAAAATATAATGAAATGGAAGATCAGTAACTGCATGCATTTAGTCAAGTTTATTTTTCTAGCCAGTAATAAAAAAGAGTGATATTAAAAGTCAAAACATAATGAACTGATTTGCGAAAATAATATTGCATGTGTAATAATTGTCATTTTCTTTGCTGTTGCGACAGTGTCTACTTTGGCTTTAAATGGTTGTGACTTTTTTCCCAATTTGATACGAACCTATAGTAAGTACCTTCGCTATACTTCTTTCTATCTCCTGCAGCATGTCTATACTTTTGGAACCATAAATTTGTTGTTTGTCCCAACACCTGACCTGGACAGGTAACTGAATTTAAATTGTCATTTGTCATTGCATCAAGGCTTCTAATCAACTTTTTTATAACTTTATATAAATATGAAAACATTGTAGAAGTCACATTTTTGAAGTATATTAATATTTTCTGTACAATAAACTCCAATAGCATACTCTAAACAAGTCTACAAGTCAAATGTATGCAGTTACTGCACCTGGATTGTTGAAAAAAGATTTTTTGCGACATTTTTGTATTATCAACCTTTTATGTATCTGTCTCAGCATTCTCGGGTTTTATGGTTTCTTCTTTAACTTCATCAAGAATTTATATTTAATAAATTATTTTTATTTAGTTCGAAACTTATTAGAAGGAAACACAAATCCAAATGAAGCCAATGATGACGGACTAACTGCACTTCATCAGGTAGTTATACTTTGCAATATTTTGATCAATTCTTGAAAAAAATGAAAATCATGGTGCTTGGAAATAGTTTAGATGTGTGTGATTTGGAGAGGGGGTTTATTGATCTAAGCCTGTGGAGTCTGGAAAAATTTACTATGTTATATTTGAACTATCCACATTCAAGTATATTCTTGTATAGAGCCTTGTTCTGAGTTAAAAGCAAAAATAATTATTATAATGTACCGGTATTTACTCTAATTCTTATATTGACCTTCATTAGACATTTCTGCAATGTTTCATATTATTACATTAATATTTAATGATTTGGCAACACTTAGTATGCCTTGTTATTCGATCTTATCTTAATGCATTCCTGTCAAGAATAATTTTTTTCTAAAATGAAGATCTTTTCGTGTTGTCGTTCATTAACTGTTTTAGGCTTTGCGCAATTTAAAGAGTCTTTATTTTTGTTATCATTCCAGAAGTATGTGTACCAATATAGAGGTAACTAATTTTGTTCGCCTACTTTACATCAAGTTGTGTGAATAGACTGAAACCTATGGGCAAGGGATATATTCATGTGACTAACACAGACAGTCCCCGAACTCTTTTATCTAAATTCTAAACCAAAAATTTCAAACTTTCGGTACGGTACTTAATTTCAATAGCCTATTTCAAAATCAAATTCTTTTTGCATGGACTATATTTAATAGACTTATTTTTTAATCCGGCTTCAATTTTCTATCGTTAAATCAATCACACAACTATACAGTTCTACTTATGCAAATGAAAAGTAATAGTACCAGTAAATACCAAAAAAACTTAAATATACAAAATGGAATGAATCTTAAAAATATTCAATCATTAACTATTTTTTTTACAATTTTCCTAATGATGCGAATATTGATCTTAAAATCAATTTGTGTGATTTAAAATTGTAGGAATATGTAATTTAACCACCATTAAATTATCTCATAACTGCCTGTTATATGCTGTTATCAATAACTCGTTTGTTTTCAATCTTGACAGAATCCTGTCCATTAATATCAAATAGCTTCTATCCCGCATCCTATTTGTCATTATACAAAATCGCATCACCGCGTTCTCTTTCATTATTGCAAAATTCACAGAACAATATTAATTCAGCCAGAGATAAATTGATATAAATTCTTAGTTTGTGTCATTTTCTCCGGTCTGAACTTATTCAATTCAATTACGCAACTGCTTTGTGATAATGTATATTTACACAAGATCTTCATACTTGATTTGCTGTCTATGAACCGGATCGGCTACTTATCACGACCTTGAACTATTGATATCAAAATATTAGCAGATGGCGGATCTTGATAAGCTTTATAATGATTGATGAACCCTTTGTGGGTATTTTAAAATCATTGATAAAACATGATTACAGATGCTTATTTTGCAAAGCTTAAAGTTTGCCTAAATTTTTCCAAAAAATCATGATTTTTTAATATCAGGTTTAAAATTTATCTTGGGTTTAAATCCCATGTTTACCACCTTACTTGGAATATAATGAATGAAATAGACAAGATTGACTGAAATTTGACAAAAATCTGTTTCAGTCACAGAATTGTCAGATTTTTATGAGAAGAATAATATTATTATCTGATTTGAAAAAAAACTTTTAAAATTCGTTCTGGGTTTGAATTCCTTATCACCAACTTGGCTGATATACAAATGAGGTAGGCCTATGCAATGCAGAACAAGAAAGATTTCTGTTCTTCCAATATAGAAGCATCCATTTACTCATCCTTGAATATAAAGACCTTCCTACGTAGCAAATAAGCGTCATAAAAATAGCTTTTTAGGATGACCTGTTCTCATAAATACAGCTTTGTTATGAAATTTGCTGAGCTTGTTCGAACTACATCTTACCACCATATTTCAGTTTAGATATTGCTTGTTTGATGATTTTCCTTACTATTCATATTTATGTTAGTGTCTTCATCATATCATGCCGGGATGAAGATTCTCTGAATAGAAATCGAAACATCGGCAAATTACATTGTTCTGTAAACACCCATTATGCTTTATTTATCCTTAACAATACAATGTTGATCATCAAAATCCTACCATTTTCAAATTGAAATTTTTACATTGAGGAATTTTATTTTTATGAAACTTTCATTAAAATCCCTATTCACAAGAGAAAATGAATACTTGTGTATTTTCTTAGAAAATTGGATGATTTTATCAACTATCGGATTAAATTTTTCTGTCGTCATAAAACAGCTGCTATTTTTGCATCAAACTTCCTGCTTTCTACTTAATACTATCAAGTCATTACATGAATGAAGTTAATCCAGATAATCTCACTAAACTTATATGTTTTAAAATGAATACTCTTAATTCCAATGTCTGCGGTTATGTTAAAATGAGACGACACGCCCGTTTGTTTCAAAAACTTACAAAGTGTGGTTGTCAAAATATATTGAAATGAAATTGAAATTTCGAAAATCTATTTTTAATTTTTGAAATTTTTTTTAGATGGAACAGCGGAAATAACTAAAATTACTTTTTATAACAATATGCCTTGAATTTTTTGATAAGATATAAGTGGCCGCTTTGTACGAGAGTGAAAGACACATTAAAAAAAAGGAATAATATTTGTGCTATTGATCGAGTTTTGTGGGACTAACTACTTATCCTTCTTCTATTTTTTTTGTGATGGTGGGGTGGGGCACTGGGGCTGTATGTAGTGAGAGGAAAGTTGACTAATAATAATATTGTCTTCAGTTAGTAAAATTTCCAAATTTTTAATAGGAAGTTATTTTTTAATTTCATATTTATTTATTCTTTTTCTAATTTAGCATCCTTGTTAGAGTGCATAAACCAATACATATTATTTTATCAGTTGTTATTTGAACACTGAATTTGAATAAAATGATAGTGGTACTATATAAAAAGTGAAGAGATTTGTGGGCTAGATCACTTAGAATGGTGGGCCATGTAAGGGTGATGTAAAAAGTTACATTTAATGAACAATATTTACAGTGTCACAAAGACAAAAGTGAAAATCAATAAGCCTTGTGCCAAAACCAAATTTAGTCTCAATTTCAACAAATTTCTTTAACTATTTTTTAGCTAAAACATCAAAATTTGGTTTTAGTTGGGTTGTAGCAGTATCATGGGTCAGACCAGATTGAATTACCCAATGGGCTGGATTTGGTCCGCGGGCCGTAGTTTGCTCAGGTCAAGGCTGGATTGATTATATTTTTAAAGGAATTGGAATTTATTGGGTTCCGAGTTGTAAAACGCTTTTCTTGAAACTGTAAATGGTTGTAGGATGAATATATAATTACATGGTTGAAATTAGTTCATGGTTTTCATGATAGTGTACTAGATTAGGGTTGGGCCCTAATTTAATTCATATTTTCCTCGTTTTAGTTTCATTACGAGTTTGGGGACTGTCTGTGTTAGCCAAGTAAATATGCCCCCTGCCCATAGGTTTCAGTCCCTTTACACAACTTGATGTAAAGTAGGCGAACAAAATTAGTTACTTCAATATTGGTACACACACTTGGGACTTGGGAGCACCATATTTTGCACTTTGTTTAAATTTTTTGAAATTATGCTTCGATTTCAATACCTTGTACTGTGTTCTTTACGATAAAATTGATTTTCCAGTCATTGGTCGCTCAAGAAAAAGGAATCAACTCACAATTTATTATAATTTCCCTTTTTTATTGGTAAACCTCCATGAATATATAAATATTAATGTGTTTAAAATTGCAAATTTAATTAAAATATGTTTATCATTCAAATTTTGAATATATATTTGAGAATATTTTTTAGATTAAATTTTCAATTTCAACCCAGTTGTAATGCAGGATTTTTTCATATGATCTGTTATAATGTAAATTAGGACAGAATCTTATAAGGATTACCAATATTTTTTTTATTTGAAACAACAATGTCCACGATGAATTGAATGTTCGTTTACGTCCAGAACTGGCTATGTTTCTTGATTTTAAAAAACAATTTTGAATATTTTTAATTTAAACTGCAAAGTTTGTATAACAGGGAGTATCTTCAGTTAACTTTTATATTCCATTAAAAGTTTATAAAATAAAAATAATTATCTCATGTTATGACACTCATCTACTATTAAAATGCAATGACTCAATGTATTGAATCTCAATCAATTTATAGCTAATAATATATTTATTATTCATATCCAAAATATTTTTAGATTATTTTCAAAATATCTCATTCATTTCCTTCGTATTCTCAGCTCAAATTTCAAAATTGGAACATTTGCATTTCACACATAACACCCATAAAAGTACAATATCCCAAACCCAGTTTTTCAGAAACACAAATTTCAACATGGGGAGCATCTAAATATGACATTCTTATGTAACCCAATGCATTACATTAATGGACATGTTTGTTTATGTTCCAGGCATGTATCGACAACTTTGAAGACATGGTTCAACTATTAATTAAATATGGAGCAAATGTGAACGCAGTGGACAGCGAACAATGGACTCCTTTACATGCTGCTTGTACTTGCGGACATACGAATATCGCTACTATATTAGTTAGCAGGTAATTTATCATTTTCATTTTGGGAAAGATGTCTTTGCTTCTGTGGCATGGCATCTTACTTTAATAATGTGGGGTCCGTGGCGTGGCATTTTATTTAACCTTTTTTATTGAACAGGTTCCCTAGTAATATATAAATTTTGTTTCGTCACGTATAATTTATGGCATTATGGGTAACTTCACTGACATGGCATTTTATTAACGGGCATGGCATTTTACTGAATTGACACCACAAACATAAACATAACAAAAAACATAAAATGAAACATGAAATGAAACATAAAATTTGGTGCATATCATTATTTGGTTACGAATTAGGTTAATTTGGGATATTTTATTCAAAAATATACAAAAAATTCCAAAGTACCTTACTATTTCCAAATAGTAATACAAATTCCATCAATTTTTAAATCAGGTCACTCTGAAATACCATTTATTCATTTTTGTTTCCTAACAATATCATCAATATGTCAAATGTTGTACTTTTAAATGAATCTAGTTTATGGCGAAAATTTTTCAATTTTTGAAAAAAAAATTAGGTATTTGATTTTAACAGTACAATTATATTGTAGTCAGGCGAAACATTACAGAAATGGACCTCTCATAATAGTCATGTTTATACTTGCTACAGCATGTTTGCATTATATACATACAAATCCATCGATGCAAAACATAGAAAAGTATTTGGTCTTACAGAAACCCAATCGATTACCAAAATTTTATTTTTTTCTATTTTCTATTTTGAAAAAATTCTTTGACATCCCTAGAAACAGTATTGAAGTCGGTGTTGAAGTTGAAGATTGAAGTCGCGGTGGCGATAAATTTAAATAGCAGTTTCTTCATAAGTTTATGCTTTTAACTCGCTATTTCTGCGAGAAACCCTAATAATGCTATAAGGTGACTAGCAAAAATAAACAATTTTCGTGCTTGTAACTACTAGAGTGTCCATATTAAATAAAGATGCGACCCGCGACTCCACTCAGTTACTTGAATTTGGCCCGCCAGTGAAAAAGGTTGTACACCCCTGATCTAATCTATTTGAAATCTTGAATTTATTTAATTTAAGAAAAACCCCTTTCAATGAAATAGCAAGTATTTTTGTAATCTTCTGTTAGATTCTTTTACGAGTTCAGGGACTGTCTGTGTTAGCCGAGTGCAAATACCCCCTGTCCATAGGTTTCAGCTTCACAACTTGATGTGAAGTAGGCGAACAAAATTAGTTACCTCCATATTGGTACACACACTCCTGGAGCGCCGAAAAATCTATTGGTGTTTTCATAGATATGAGAATGCATTACAAAGTCATTAAGTCAATACGGTGACGTTCTGCAATGTCTGACTCAACTGAGAGAAAGGAAATGACAAGCTGTTTTATAATAATCTATATTCACATACAGATTATGTTAAACCGAGCATGGGGTATATCTTAATCGATTTTAAAAGGCTTATATTAAATATGGTCCATACAATTTACAAGCAGATGGTATAAAAATAAAAGCTGGATAAGAAAAGTGATGAAAAGATTAAAAAAGCTTGAGGATTTTTTAAACAAACAGTGATCTTTATCTCTCCTGCTGTGGGCAATATTTACAAAGATTAAAAAAAATTCAGTTTTCATATGCTGATAGGCATAATACACAATTCTCCATATTCATTGTTGTGGCTGTAAACTGTCTGTGCGTCTCAAGGCTTTACAAGTGGATTTATTCCACTTCAATAAAATACTGTGGGGCCCGGTATAATACACAATTCTTCAGATTTATTGTTGTGGTTTGAAAACTGTCTGTATGTCTCAAGGCTCAACAGGTGAATTTCCTTCTCTTCTGGATAAGACCATGTGTGGCCAGATTCCAATCTAATATTCTGTATTAAACAAATTGGGCATTAGTTTGGTACAGCCTTTTCTAAGCTGGTGTAACGACACTTTGAAAAAATTGTGGTATTTACCATTAGCAATATAGCTAGTGGCGAGACAGACTACAACTGGTTTCCAGCATAAAAACCAAACCTCAAAGCTACTTTTAATTTGGCCTGGTGGTTAGGGTGGTAGGTCTGAAACTCGTTTGATTTGAGTTTTTCAAGTTTTTGATTAAAAAACCGCAGGCCCATCACTTGAATTTGAAAAAAATAATTTGGGTAGGCTATGCAAAATTCGAAAGATAATTGTCTTCTAAATATTGTATAAACGTACTAAAGTGGTAACTTGTTCAGAGTAAAAGTTTGACACATCCTAATAACAAGAGAAAAAATCACAGTCTAGTGTCAAATTTATTTTAGAAGAGTAATTTACTCATTAACATGAATTAAAGGGGAATAATTGTAAAACCTTCCACTATACTATGACTGGTTGCAGAGGCTTGTCTAGAATTAACAATAATAGGCGGCATAACAGCACTTGATAAAAATAAGTTTGAAAATTTTTAAAACTTTAAATTATCCAGTCTGTTAATTAACATCGGTACCATTGACCTGTTTCAACTCATTGATTTTATTATTCTGGTGTCTGTGATGACTAGTCTACACCCTCGACACTAATCTTTCTACTTTGAACCACTTAATTTTTCAATCACCTATTGTTTATAGGATTTCGGAAACCTTTTAAATCAAGTTCAAATTGTATTTAGGCTTGTTTTTTATGAAAATTGTGTTTATCATAAAAGTAATTTTGCTTTTTATTGAGGTTTATGACGAAAAAGGCCAAAACTGAATAATCAACAACCAAATACATTTTTGATTTTGTTTAAACCAAATTTCTGTCCTTACCAAACTATCTCTCATACTATTTATTAAGGATGTATACCGCCACCCCTGTTTGTAATGTGTTGAGTTTCAATCTTGGTTTTAATGAACATCCTTTACTTATTGAAATCCATTTTACTTCAAAACTGATGAAAGATTCAAGAAATATAAATAATTAATTTGACATGTGCCAGTTACTTCAGACCCTGACAAAGATTAGTATAGATTTTAATCTTACTTCAAAAAAACTGGGTTGTGTCAGTCAAATGTAAGGTTTTCTTTTATACAAGGCCGTGTATGAGCAGCCATTGGTATGTAAATAACTAGTATCTTTGAAATAACCTGAATCCTCCTGGTTCTGTATTGCCTCCTTTTTTATTTTGCCCTTGATGATTTGGTTGGATTGGGCCTAGTTCTGCAACCTGCTGTCCGAACATAGTTAAGTCTAATGTGTTAACCTAATTCTGATTATCGAATTGGCATCAAGATAGAATTTTAATCTTAATAATAAGGGATACAGATATCTCATATGATATGAGGCTCACGTTTCAACCAGTTTGAATTCATTGTAATTTAATTTTGGTTTTTTGCAATAAATGTGTTGCTAAGCGTTCTAAGCATACTAACATGCCTCTGACACGTTTAACTGGTTTTCTAATCTCCACACCAGACATAGACTGATCATCAGGCGCAAAGCCGAGCTTTGCAGTAGGATTGAGCTGTTTTCCTTTTTCTGTGGATAGTTTAAAAAAAATCAATTATTTTATGCTATATACAAACTAATTCTTGCGTTTCGAATTGAGCGACAAACTACATAACCTTTGACCTGGACCACTGTATCCTGATTATGTCGATGTAACAAGAGTACAAGACAATACTTTATAGCAATAATAGTTCATAATTATGCAGTTATCTTATTATATTTTACTATCCATTTATGCCTTTGCATGCCATAGCAATAACTGTGGGATTGTAACTTAGCCTCAAGGGTAACTAATTAAAGGACTTGTCAGCAATATAATTTTTAATATCAACTCACTTCCCCCTGATATTGAATTTTTTCTACGGTATTTCCTCATAATCTCATATTCATAATAAAAGTATATTTTGGCATCCCTGCTGTGAGCTTTGAAGTTTCATATTTATATTGTTTAATACATAGTTTGGGTTGTTTTGGTATCACCTATCAAGCTTTAAAAAATCATAGCACTTCAAGCGTGATTTCTACTTAAACTTTTCACTCTGGGTCACAAGAATGATGAATAATTAATCAATTAGCGATTGCTTTTGTGATTCAAGTGAATTGTTTTCTCGTTCTATTGATTTTTTTTCACATTTGTGAACTGGAGCATGCGAATTAATCGATCAGAAAAAAAGTTGATCGGAAAAAATTTTGGAATTTCGAATTTGAAAACGCGAAATTTCTTGCGGCTAATTTTTCGGCTAATCCAACCGCTAGTCTAAAGTTCATATGAAAATAATAAGCACAGACACAGTGTAACAATCGGAATCATTATGACGTTATTTTCATTGGTATTGTCACTGGAAATTTATATCCTATAAGAACTAAAGTCGCAATTTCAGTAGACAAAAGGGGGCCGGATTAATCACATCGGTGGGCCTTTATCTCTGAGATATAACTAATTATGGATCTGTTCAAATATTTGTTTATATTCTGTAAATCATTATCCTCAAGTAGAATTTATGGCTAATAAATTGAACCTTATTGATTTAGGATGCTGATAAGTATCATGTTTTCATATCAATAAGTTTATATCAAAATAAAAAATGGTGATTGATAATTAAATTGATACTTTAATAAGGATATCAAGTAAGGCATTCTTTATTGATTTTAGAATTTTGTAAAAAAGATGAAAATTTTTTTATGTTTTCTATTCCTTTACCACTGCTCAGCTAGGTTTTTACACCCCGGCAACAGGGAATTTGAGTATTAAACTAGGGTTAGGGCCTAATTTTATTGCGATTTTCCTTATTTTAGTTCTATTATGAGTTCGGGACTGTCTGTGTTTGCCAAGTGAATATACTCCTTGCCCATAGGTTTCAGTCAGTCCCTTTACACAACTTGATGTAAAATAGGCGAACAAAATTAGTTGCCTTCATTTTGGCGCACACACTTCTGGAGCGCCGGGATCAAGAGGTAGCTTCTTGATTTGGACTGAAGTCTTTCAATTTTTTTCTTCAAGTGGGATTTTATGCATTGAGTTCGAAATAGGATTCTAATATATTTCACTATAATTACTTCTGGCCTCCGTAGTACCAAAATAATGTCCAATACTAAAAACAAGCCATTACAATTTTTTCAATAATATCAGTATTAGAATTTTTTGAATATTATTTCACCTTTTAATAAGAATTCGTTTCCAAATGTTGAATGAAAAATCAGCTTGGCCTCCGTAGTACCAAAATAATAATCAATACTGAGAACAAACCAATACCATTTTTTCAATAATATCAGTAGGCCTATTAGAATATTTTGAATATCATTTCATTTTTTCATGTATCTTTTCCAAATATTGAATGAAATATCAGCTTATGATGCTTTCCTGTAATTGAATACAATTTTCACATTTATTCTGAAATAGAAATGTGAGAACTAGCACAGATTTGCGAAATACAAAATTTGACTAAAAATTGTCTCAATTCATAAAAACTGCTAGTATGCTGATCAATTATCTATTTATTTGCAGTGGTGCGGATTTAATGGCTTTAAACGCAGATCATAATATGCCGTATGATATTTGTGAAGATGAAGAGACTTTGGATTTTGTAGAGAAAGCAATGGCTTCTAGAGGTAAAAATTTTTTTTTTGCTTAAGTAGCCTAGATTTTAATTTTCGATGAATTTCTTGATTTTGAAGTTTTTATCATGGTTTTGTAAATATAATGTTTGTGGAGTTTATTATATGTTCGTTAACATATATTTTTTTAAATTGATAAACGTGAATTTCAAATGCCAAAATTTTTTTGTTTTGTTTATTTTAACTGTAAGCCTTATTTATAGTATTATTTAAACTGAATTTAATATTCCTATTCACAATTTTCAACTCTATTATTTCATCAATGAAACGTTGCGGTTTGGCAACATTAATACTAATGTGATCACTTTATTATTAGTCTGGTATTATATACTGTTCTATTAATAAATTAATTCAATGCGTGGTCAAAATGTGCGCGCTTGGTCTAATTGATACTCTCTCATCCTAATTGTAAAAAAAAAACGATCAGTGATGTAACTGCTTTGTTCTGATAGAATTTGACATCTTTATTTGTGGAATTTGCTGAACGAGCTATATTTGATTAACAGTAATTACTAATTAATGGATATATGGCTTCAATTCCAATTGTACAATATAATATTCTATGCGATTCTTGCTACACACTTACACAAATATATTTCTTTATCATTTTGTCTGACCAATATCTGCCTCCATTAGACATACAATATTCGACTGCTCAATATAAGTTTGATGATTTATGATTTAAACAGCAATATGGTGGCCTAGTAGTTAAAGTGTAGAATGCAAGTACTGGTATGTTAGCACCATAGGGTAAAAATATGTGGTTAAAATCCCAGCGCCTCACTGAAATCCTTATTATGCTGAGAAGTAAGGCATACGTATAAATTTATTTTGTTGTAAAATATACCCATTTAGATTAATTGAAACTAACATTAAATGTTACACAATCTTTTTCTCCCATTTCGATTTCACTCTGAATGTGGCTCCGTACAAGCTTTCTATGAACTATTATTTGTGAAGGAAGCATCATAGTTGAAGCTAAAACTTCTAACTCAACGTTTTCCTTCCCGGGAAGAAATTCTGTCATTCTTGGCGAGGAAATTTGCTTTGTAACTGCAGTAGTAAACTTTTTTATGATTATTACTATAATAGGCTACTTATTTATGCGCATATAAACTACTTCAACTGTACGAATGTGTAATTCATTGAAGATTGGACAAATAAATTAGTTTTTATGCATATTGAGGGAGAAATAAAGAGTTCCAAAATGGCGGAGGGAGGAAATTATTTGAAAAGGTTGGGAACCACTGCTTTAACCACTAAGCTGTGGTGCCTACAGGCAATTAGGTTCACATAACATAATTCCATTGTCGCAACCGAAACTTGAGGTTTTGCCTCGTGTAAAAACCTGAATAATTGATGTATAAGCATTTTTATTATACTGCTGGACATTATATAATATATAGGTCAAAATATATATTTTATTTACCAAGAACAACTAATTTTAACTTGACCTTTGAACTTATAATACGTAGGCGTAGACCGGGGTGAGTTGGGGGCCTTCCCTCTTTCCAAAATCTTCAAAATTTTCTATGTTCATTCAAGAGTGAGGGTCGAATAGTTTGCCGATATAACATTTTTAAACTTTAATGAAATTCAATATTATGTTTTTCACTTTAGGAAATGGTGTTTAATTTGGTGTTATGCAATTCTACTCTTAAAATATACATAATATGGATTAAGGATTTGTTTTCAGGAAAATGACAACTTACCTTTGTAAATTCTTCTGTGAATTCAATTAATTGTGAAAAACTATATTATTTTCACAGCAAAAGCGGTATTTTCTAATTTTGCAATTTTAAAATAATAGCTGAAATTGAATAAACCTAACTGATATATTGTTTCAAAATTGTGGTTATTTGCTAAATGTAAATTCAGTAAAATGTTGCATAAATAATGGGTTTCCGGATCAAAATACAAACAAATGGATTAATTGGAACATACAAATTATCAAATAAACATTCAAGTAGCAATAATTTGGAATTTAACTTCATTCCAAATCAATTCACCCCGCCAAGCTCTCCAATTTTTCAAACTCAATATGCAATTGTTGCTCAATGAGGTATTTTTAGCCAGAGACTGTCAATACTGTATTACTTGCTATTATGAATATTTATAAAATATTGTTTTGGAAATAAAATATTAAATATGTTATAAATTTATCCATATTAAATTAAGAAATTTGCACAAGTTATAGTATTTCTATAAAAGAATGATTCTTATTAAATGTATAAAGTGTTCTGATTTTCATTACTTATCAAGCATTACAGGTGATAATTTTGGTTGCACCATCATTCTGATATTTGATTCCTTTTCAACATATCTGTTTATAGCATCAGAAAGAGGGCACAGCTTTTGTGCAACTTATAACCTTTCATGAAAGTATATTTCATTCCATACAGTCTTTCTATAGCTTGGACTATTCCCACGATCACATGTTAGGTTTTTCTAAAAATAACTTTTTTCACTTTACTATTTTTCTAGTTTCGGTATCAGTTTTGCAGGAAATCTAAAAATGTATCGATCAATAACTGAATGTTTTCATCCGCAAATTATTCATTGATTATTTTATTCAAGAATAAGTTTCATAGCTGTTTATTGTAACATTAGCATTCATTTTCGTATCCGAATAGTGGTCATATTATGGAAATTTCAACTAATTTTGGAAAAAAAAAAATATTTGGTTTATTTAAATGAGGTACTACTCCTTTCTCTCTGTATTGATCAATAACTAAATGTTTTTATCCACAAAGTATTCATTGATTATTTTAATCATATTATGTAAAATCATTTCGTGAAAATAATAGTGATATTTAGCTTATTATTATGACATAGTACTCCTTCTCTCTTTCTGTGTAATGAATGCAAGAATATTGTAACAAGAATCAGAATTTCTATAATAGGTGGTTCAAAGGCATTCAAAATGTTGCATCACATTTTACCAACCTAATTTTGTAACGTCAGTTCCAAACTGCTTCTCCATTATTACAATTGATTTTGTATAGATTCGGTAGCTGTTAGATCATTAGGGGTCGGCCCTAAATTCACTGAGAGATGAGTTTCCTTAACTTCTTAGAAAGTGCATGTGGCCTTACTTTGAACAATTTTTTTTTAATGTGTTTTTTCTAATATTCCCAATATCAAGAATCATTTCCATAAATGATAGGTATTTTGAGATTTTCACCAGTCCCTAGTTTGTTATTATTAACCATTAATAACAGTCTCAGCTCAGCACTTACAATCTGCCAAAACCAAATACAAGAGTTTAAAATGGCATAATTGCAATATAAAATTCAGCCTAGATTAAATTAAAAACTTTGAGAAATTTGATATTGTAAATAGCGTTTATATCGGGAGAATATCGACTAAAAATAGCTCCCTCGTGTGTTAATTTGCTTTGTAACAAGTTGTTTTTGATTGTTATCAAACAATCGTGTCTGACTGTTAATTGACTCCTGAAATTTAATCCCTCGCGTCTTGTGGCATCGATACGATTCTGTGACACAATTGTCTGTTGTTATTTTTTACACAATGAATAGAAAAGCGCCTCATTATCTTTGGTTGAAATAGGTTCAAATGAGCATGTCACCCAAAATCTTGTTATTTGTGAAGGATAGTCATCATTATTTTCCAGGAGTTTTCCTTAATTACAGACTATCAGAGAAGTTTGCATGTGCAAAAGTTGTTTTACCGAAATTCTCAGAGCTGGAGCCAAAACCTCAAGACAGTCAATAATGGCGCTAATTAAATTCAAAATTTCTAGAACTCTAAAAGCTTCAAGTTGACTGAGAACACTCAAAACAAACCATTAAACAAGGCTAGCTTTCGCTAAAGGTTTTTTCATCAAAATTTGTTGGGTTCAAAATTGGTGTTAGGATCAAAATCACCTCCAATCTGGGGTCGGGAATCGTGGTCGAACATTTTCTCAAGATTGAGTCGCACTAAATTCGGTTGTAAATATTATCAGACTTCACCTCTTTGGTCTCCCCGATCATTAGGAAAACGATTATTAAAACGCAATGTGATAAATTACTTACAGTATACCAATATGTATGTTTTTGACCGTGTTTATGGTTGAATTTACAATTTAAGAAACAATAATTCACTTTCACTAAATAATGATTCATGGTTGCATTTGCTTATGCATTCAACTTAGTCATACATTTGATACGTTGGGCAAAAATGACTCAACTCTTGGCCGAGATATTGTTTTCAAGGTTCAATTCATTTTAAAAATATTAATTGCCGCTGTAAAACTATGCACTATGTAACATTTTTCGGAAATTCAGACTTTTTTGATTCTCACTCATTATGGATCAAGGTTTTCCTCTCGTTCTATACTTGTTTTACATTTGATTTAGCTAGTGCAATATCACTATGTCATTTTAGGTTTGCATGTTAGAACAGAATTTACTCAAAACCTTATGTGACAATATAAATAATTTGGTTTCACTGCAGCATAATAAACAGCTCTCATTGCACCTATTTTCAATGGTTGTCAATTGCCATTTGGTTAAATGAGGAATTCCTCATTCCTCGAAAAGGCCGCTTGAGGACTGACCCAAAGTAAATACTGATAAAAAAAAATTAGATATTTGCTTGGTGAACTCGCCTGTGATGTGAACTGCTTTTAGTTTGATATTCATTTGCTTTGATTTAACAACCTGGTAGCGATTTATGTTATTATTTATGGGACATCTGTTGCTTTATGTCTTCCTCAAAATATTTATTTTGTTATGAATCATCATGTACAAGGATGTATTATAGCAGTCCAAGCTTATCTAAGTTTAAAAGTTATATAATTTGGTTCTTTGTGCAGAATAATTGAGAGGTTATTCTTATCTGAACACATTTGGATTCTTAATCTAAATCTAGCTTCCTGTGATTGTTTGCAACTCTCTAATTTTTAGCGGGAAAGTTTGGGACTGGGGATTTCTGAATAGTATGGTTTTCCATGATAGGCCAAAACTGTAACAGTAAATCCAAGTTTTGCTCGTACTTCTTCATTTGTTTGCAATTCTTCTTGTGGTCGGGGGGTTCCTTATTGGAATATACAGTTATTTGCTGTTCAAAGTATGAAATGAATCTAATGTAAACACTAGATCTAAATATTTTGCATCAGATGTTGCAACTTTTTTATTATTCAGTCGATGACTTGTGGCCAGTAATATTAATTTGACTAGTAAGTTTTGTAGAAAATGATCATTTTGTTACGTAAAATATTACAGAATTGAAGATTTCATTTCAAACCCAATAAATTTTATGATATTATTTCAATCACCTCATTTTTTTTATTGAAGACCGCAAGAAAATCACCTCGGTTTGAATTTTTATGCAAAGTACACATTCTGTTGGTATCATGATATTTATCTTTTCCACCTACTTTCACTTTGTTCTGTTTGCCTACACACTGATGCTTGCTTGTTTTGCAGCGTGATGACTTTCCGTCCTTTAACTTTGTTGACCTTTTCAATCGTGTGCTTATTGAAAGCGAAGAAAATTCATTTTTATCTGAATGTAAAATGAATGCTGTTTGGGAATAGTATTTTTCAAATCAATGAAATTCATCAAAATTTGGTATTTATTAAACAAAACACTAAATTTGCTCAAAGCAAGGTTATGCACACTCGCTCTCAAAAAATATAGGTAAGAGATAGATCTTTGAGCCAAGTTACCGGCAACTACTATAAGTGCCAAGGCTACTCCTGTAGTATGTGAACCAAGATGACGAACACCGGAACGTACTATATGTACCAGGTTAGGGTTAGGCCATAATTTCAAGTACAAATACTACGGGAGTCAATTGGCTAGTCCCAGAACTCGTAATAATACTAAAATTGGGAAAATTGGATTAAAATTATGGCCTTACCCTAACCTGGTACACGTACTATGTTCAGGTGTCCGCCATCTTGGTTCCATTACTACGAGAGCGCCGTGTTGAGAGAGCTTAATTAGGTAGACAATGCTGAATCGGGAATATTATAAATAAAAGTAGCTCATAACATATTGCTAGATACTCAGTAACTTCTTGTACAAAGCATTGTTAACTGTGTAAGGCGTAAATAATCGTCCTGTAAAAAATGTTAATAAAAATCAAATATTTGTGGATTTTTATTACTTCCTCTAGGCAATGATTTTATTGAATTTCGATTTGTTATTTTTATTGGATTTTCATACCTATCTGTTTGTATTTTACGATTATCTGAGACAACAAAACCACCATAATCCTTGTTCATCATATTTTATAAATACTCCTATTGTGTCCTTGTTTATGAAGTCTAATGATTTCCTGCCTTCAAAAATTTGCGGTTTTTGTGAATGAAATTTCTGTCAGCTTCCAAAAATCAACAACCTAAGTAATGTTTACTTGTTTCATGTGTCACTTAATATCTCAATATGTTTTAATAAAAACGCCACCAAAGCACGATTTTTTTCCGTTTTTCTCCAAGGTCATTCTCAAGGTCAAATAATCTTCCAACAATCAACAACCTAAGTATTGTTTACTTCTTGTCTGCGTCGCTCAACATGTTTCAATACAAAAAACGCTAAAACAAAATATTTTTATTTTTGTCCAAGGTCATGGTCAGGGTCAAATGATCTTTCTTATCACATAAAATGATGCAATGTTGCATACTTAAAAACATTCATCTCAGATTTTGACTTTTTTAATGCCAATGGAAAATGATAGATAGGCTACAGGAGTAATGGTGCGGTTTATTGAAACTGTCAGTTCCGCACTCTAAGTTTTCATGTCGACTTTTTATAAGATGTTAGTATACCTACCGTTATAACTAGCAATTGCCCACTGGTAATTCTTGATCGAGAGACAATTGCTTGACTATTAGCGAGTAGCCACCAGAACAAGGATTTTTTTTTGCCCTAAGAGGAAATGTGCATTCTTCACATCATTGAGTTGATTTAGACTTAATACTGTTTTACTCTGGGTTTGTTACACTGAGCATCTTTTTGAATTTTTTCATTTTGGTGCGAAATAGATCTAATCAAATTGAAATGAATTTCAACACAGGGCCTGTAGCATGTTTATCATTCCATTTCTAGTTGACATAAAATATTCACTATTACATCTATTTCAGGCATAACTCAAGAACAAATAAACACTACAAGGTCATCAAAAGAACGGCAAATCATCAACGACGTACAGAATATTGTGGATCAAGGAAAATCATTGGATTATAAAGATGAATGTGGAGCCACTTTGGTGAGTATTTACAAACTTAAATGGGTACTTCCGAAGTATGTGAACCAAGATGGCGGACACCAGAACGTAGAATTACTTTGGTTACAGGTTGTTATTATGTATGCCTAATTAAGTTAGGCCTAATCTTTGGATTACATAAACCTAATTGCCAGTATGGTAAAGCTATGCAGGATTTTTCCGAAGATATTCCATTTCAGGACCATAGCAAAATGTTGCCATCTGGTATACAGAATTGGGTCCTTCTGTAGTGTGTGTACCAGGTCAGGGTTAGGCCATAATTTTATTTCAATTCTTCGTATTTTAGTTCTAATACGAGTTCGAGGACTGTCTGCGTTAGCCGAGTGAATATCCCCCTGCCCATAGATTTCAGTCCCTTTACACAGCTTGATGTAAAATATGCGAACAAAATTAGTTACTGGTACCTCCATATTGGTATTGGAGCGCCCAGAACTGTATATCCCATTCCAGACTTGCAATTTAAATAAATTACAATAAAGTAAAATATTGCCCAAGCCTTGCATGATTATTAGTTAATTCATATAAAGAATTGTAGTCTTTGATCTATTGATCACGGCAAACAAATAAAATATGATATTATTGATTTTGGTTAGTCATGAATATGGAATACAGTCGATACTTGCCAATTAAGAATTAAAAATAGAACAGACTCGTTAATTAGTAATTAGATATTCCCCTCTGCTAATTAGCTATATTAATCACTAATAATGTTTGTTTAAATCCAAATATATCATTATTTTAGATTTGTGTATTTACTATTATTTTTGATTATTTATCATAACTGTATGTTATGATACCCTGTACTTTTAATTGTACAAGGTATCCTGCAACTAATAAATTACCTAAAGGAGTCGCAACGAAGTTTGAGAATTACTGGTACTTCCATAGTGTGTGTACCAGGTTTGGGTTAGGCCAGGATTTTATCCTGATTTTCCCTATTTTAGTCCTATTATGAGTCTGGGACTGTCTGTGTTAGCCAAGTGAATATACCCCCTGTCCATAGGTTTCAGTCCCTTTACACAACTTGATGTAAAGTAGGCGAACAAAATTAATTACCTTCATATCGGTACACACACTTCTGGAGCGTCCATAACTTTTCACAAAGAGTGAATGTGATCTTGCTTTAAAAATTGACTCACACGCTTAATTATATGAATCATTATTTTATTGTGGAAAATTGTGTATTTGATATAAAAATATAATTTTAATCAATACTGACCTTGCTTTGAGCAAAATCTCATTGATAAAATTCATGAATATCACATTTGTATTATGTTGACCTGGAAAAAATCTATTCTCAGTAGGTATATACCAACGCCTAACAATCACACTGTATTCATTACAGTCTCAGTTAGCTCTTGACACATCAGTGAGTGCACATGACTTTGCTCGGGTGTAAGTCGCCTCTGCTTCCTAGCGAATGCATGTGACTTTGCTTTGAGCAATAGAGATGTTATAATTTGAGTCATAGGAAAATTTGGTACAAATCATTATTCTATTCTTGTTAGTGACTTATATGGAAAAGTACAATTTTAATCATGATTATTCCTCACCCTTCTTTGAGCGAATAGAAGTGTTGATAGTTTTTTATTTAATTTTGATCAAATTTAGTTTATCATCATAAATCATAATATTTATAAAAAAAAATTAGGAATGAATTTAATTTCAAATTGCATTTGGGTTCACATTACACACACTTGTACATAAATGTATGTTAAATAAGGCAAGATTACAAGAACCTACTTAGGAGGGAACCAACTCAGAATTTGCTTAAATTTAATTATTTTAAAATTTTTATAAAAAATAAGCAGAGTGAATTTACTGTATTTCCAATCTTGTTCAAATTAGCATTTCAAATGTCACCAGATAACATACATTACTCAGTTTTGGAGTCATTCCTTGGCAAATCAATTGACTTCAATTCACCATCCAATCAATGAATAATTATGACATCACTATAACAAAGGTCATTTATTAAGAAGAGTATAATAAACGTCATAAGTTCGCACTTTCCTGGTAAAAACGGTTCCTCAGGTCACAGTTTGAATTAAAAAGGTTATTCATATCTGGTGAAAGCCTATTAGGCAAATCTATCTAAATATAAATGCCAATCATTGATATTCTTACGTGCGTAATAAATGGTAACAATATGAAAAATTGTTATTAGTAAGTCAAGTTTAATTTAAAACTTGTGCTTCATATAGTTACATTTTACACTGGAAAATAAATTCATTTGAAAGTCTTCCATTGAGTAAAGAGATTGATTATAAACGGATTTTTGTGATTTTTCAGGAATTTTTTTTGTTTTCCTTATTCCCAATTACAAAAAATTTTAGAGGGGCCGCCCATTGTCATTTGATAAGTCACCCCTCCAAGCCCTCCAAAAAAAGCACGATAAATCCAATATATTTAGGAGCTGCTACTCCTGAAAAAAAAAAAAACTTTCTTTAGTTCACTATAGCTTACCTAGTTCATCACACATTGTGAGAGTATATGGTAGATATGAACCCAAAATCTTTAACCTTCGACACCACATGGTGCATCCAACATCATTAATAAGTACTGGGCCATTTATTTGCAATGATAGTAACGTGAATTCCATTATTAGGTTTCTAACCAAATACCTAATCATATTATTTATTAATTCAGTTACACATTGCTGCTGCAAACGGCTACGTTGACCTGACCCGATATCTTGTTCTACATAATTGTAAAGTAAATGCACAGGACGCAGATGGATGGACCCCACTACATGCTGCTGCTTGCTGGAACCAGGTTGGTTGATAAATAGAAACCTCAGGTTCAAACCCTCTGTCCACGACCTCCCCTGGAATGTAATAAATTAGGAACCGGTAAAATTCCAGCTATTTCAAACTATAGCAGCACCTAACCTAACATTAGCTGCTTTTGCCTTGTTCAGAGCAGAATGTGTATAAATATGAAAACTAGCATTGTAATAGAAATAAATATGATATTACGATGCTTTTTGGAAGCTTCAGGCCAGGGGTGTGTAACCTGCAGCCCGTGAGCCAATCGCAGCCCACAAGGAAAAATTGTGCGGTCAGCGGAGAAGTGCCAATTTTGAATGGTTGGGAAACGAGTTTTTAATTAAGTTCAATCTGGTACGTGCAGGCAATTCCAATCATTTTGCGTTGCAGAGCATATACCTGAGCTTGTGCGAATCAAACAACGCATGCATCTGGCCCTCCTGTTTTAAACGTTGTCCACTCCTGCCCTAGGCCTTTCTGCAATATTCCTATCCCAGTTACTTAGTATGCTAGATCAGGGTGGTCCGAACCCAGGCCCGCGGGCCACATGTGGCCCGCCCATTCATTATCTGTGGCCCGCGTCACATTCGAAGAGTAATCAAAAAAACGCATTTCGTGTGGTTTTGTCATAAAATTAATCAGAAAAATCTTTTGACATATTGTCGTCACCAATGTCACTGAATTAAATAGTGTTATGACTAGCTGGGGAAACTAGCGAAGTTAAATGCTTGTTAGTCTAAATTGTTATCTGGTTTTCTAACTTTTTGGTCGGGAATATATTATGCTAACAATATAGGCATCAGAGAAAACTAAAAATCTATTAGCCTAGAATGGCTATGCCTGATAACTATGTGTTTGCTCAATAAAAGTGTTTGTTTTGTATTGCACTGTTTACCTATTCTTGGCACTATTGTGGCCCGCGAACAATGCAAAAATAATTTTGTGGCCCTCGGAGCCGACAACCTTGGACCACCCTGTGCTAGATCGTTTAGTTCTGTGATATTGGTAGCCTTGTTGAAGAAAATTTCCCTATTGATTTGAATTTGAGAAAAGTTAATATATTTAACAATGCCATATCCTAAATATTCTAAAATATATTTCTTTGGATTTCGCTAAATATGCTTTCAATCATTTTTGGCACTTTCTAATTTCACGGGCTGGGTTGTCTAGACAAATTCTATAAGCTGTGACTATTTGGCGCAAACATAATATCCCGCAGATAAATATAAATATTTACCTTTTGTATTAGACCTTACAATGTTTTCGTCAACTTTAATTTAACTTTAACGTCAATTTATTATGGTATTACGAGCAGACAGAAAGTCTAAGCAATCAATTCAGTCTCGAAAGCTTTTTGAAATTATTGTTTTAGACCTGTAATATTGTGAGACTCCAAATTAATAAGGCAGCATAAACTAGTTTTAGAACACAGGAATATTTTGAATTTACGAGATGTTGAGCGAAAGTTAATAAATTGAATTTCAACATCTTGTTCCTTTTTCAAAATGACAAAATTTCAAATGGAGTTATTTTCCAATTTTATGGATTTCTATATAGAATTTGGTCTATTAGTTAACATCTTGGTGCCATGGGATGAATACTTAGCTCATGATTTTTATGAAACATCTGGATATAAGTGTGTTTGTTCATAGAATTCGGCACTCCAGTAGTATGTGTACCAATATGAAGGTAACTAATTTTGTTTGCCTATTTTACATCAAGTTGTGTAAAGGGAGGGAAGCCTATGGGCAGGGGGTATAATCACTTGGCTAACACACAGACAGTCCCGAACTCGTATAAGGAAAATCGGAATAAAAATACGGCCTGACCCTAATCTGGTACACATACCACGAGAGTACCTAGAATTCCAGATATTGCGTTCAAGATCTATATAAAAGTCCAACCCAGAATTTTTAAATTGAATAGATAATTTTTCATTTTGTTCCCTTCTGTCATCAGAGACAAAATTTTTGTAAAATATCCCTTTATAAGTGAGCCTGTTTCCTGGCAACCACATAATCCGGATTAAATGTCACATCATGGGTCATTAAATTGACATTATGTAGATAATCATCATGAACGGTGCTTTTATAGCAAGTTTCATTCACAAACTTCAGGAATTTTAATGGCTTTTCAACTATAATTAGGTTTATATTATCTACTAAGATAACTTTGAGAAATATTGAGGTTGATACCAGGGGCGTAGCCTGAAATATTTGAAGGTTGTCTGAAATTTGTAATTGCGAAGTTATATCGTATCAGCTTGTGGGCCAGCAGGTTTGAGTCATGTAAAATTGGCATGTAAGGTGCAGAAAAAATTTCATTTTCACATTTCAAAAGGAGAAGTTTTTCAGCCCTCTCCGAATCTGGCTGGTACCTCGGTTATACCTTGTTATAACTATTTTTATGGGGCATTATCATATATTCACTATGCACAAGGCTCGATGTAAGCAGCCACGTATACATAAAAATACTGCAGAGATATCACTAGTTTTTCAATTTCAACAATAAGCATTGTCCATATTCTGTTACTTTAAATTAGAAAATCTGAATTTACTATCATTTAGGATAAAATGGTATTTTCCCCGGGACTACTTATCTATTAATGGCGAAGCACTGGTTCTCATCTGGTTTCTTATTGTGGTTGATAAGAATACATAAGCAGTTAATCATTCTGGATCAGTGGGTCTGCGTAACGATTTGATATGCCCCGCCAAACTTGAGCACTTCATGTTTTTGCGTTGTAGACATCACCAATTGTTACGTCATTATCTTAGCTTAAGCATGCGTACATTTGTAACAATTCAATTATACCGGTATCTTAATTATACGTACTGGGATTGGCCCGTTGCGGGCTCCACCCCTTCCTGGCTCTCGAAAATCCTGTCGCTTTTAAATTCGGCCTTTGGTCAATCAACTTTGAGAACCACTTTTCGAGATGCATGATCGTTGTTTTTGTCGTTATCAAACTTCTTCTCTGAGCAAGGTTCCAGAAAGTAGCTGTATGGAGCTCATGTATGGTTTAAAAAAGATTGTACCTGGTTTTCTATTAAATTTGAGAAATATATTCTATTTGAAAAATAGCTTTTCTGCAACTAATGCACCAATGAATATTAAATTTTCAATACTTAGAAGATGATAGAAATCAAAATAGCAGGCTTTTAAATTTATTTTTAAAAATATTTCTGAAGCCTACGGGACAAGATATTTCACCTAAATTTGCTATTTTCATCTAATTCATGGAAACATTGTTGTGACACTTGACCTTTGTGACTATATATATATCTTTGTTATTGTCATTAAAATAACAAGCGTTATTTTTTGTTTGTTATTTTGTTCAAAAGTGCCAGATAATTCGGTTTTACGCATTTGAAATAAATTATTCATGAATTGTACAATGCAATTTGCTTATGTGACAACAAACAATTCTTTCCCCTGTTCTTTTAGCGTCAATTGACACATTGAACAACGTTGAGGAAGAATAGAGCGTAAATGCTATAAGTAAGCCAATGTGTAATTTTTCAAATACAACACCAAATTTCTTTATAAAATTTTTTGTCAGGGCTTATAATGCTGACAAGCCTGACATTTCGAATTTTTGTTTACAAATTCATCACAATATTTACATTATTTGTGCTCTATCAATTATCCTTAATATGAATTGAGATCAAATAAGTATCCAATGTAGTCCTCCTTTTCAAATGACATAATTGTCGATATATGGAAAATGATATCTTTTTGGACACAAAATGTACATAGAGATATCCTCTTTACATTCTAATGGACCAATCAAATTCACAATACCTATCGATGGTTAAAGCTACCAGAAAGCTATTACTTTTATTTATTTTTCAAATCCCTTCCTAGTGTTGTGAGACTTATTCCTTTTCAACCTATTATTTGCTGTTTTGTTTTATTGGATAAAAAGATCACACATATTCGTCAATCTTTTTAATTGTAGTCTGTGCTCAGCTTAAGTCTAACAATCTAATTTGACGAATGTGAAAATCTCTATTCAGTTAGCAAGTTGTGCTCTATATTTTTTTCATCATATTCATGATTGGTAGTCAGCGGATGTCAATATTAGGTACTACTGTAGTATGTGTACCAGGTTAGGGTTAGGCCATTTTTGTTTCCGATTTTCCTTATTTTAGTTCTAATACGAGTTCTGTGTTAGCCAAGTGAATATATACCTCCTGCCCATAAGTTTCAGTTCCTTTACACAACTTGATATACAGAAGGTGAAAAAATTAGTTACCTTTATATTGCAGTATTGGTACACAAACTTCTGGAGCGCCCAATATTATGGTCCCATTTCCAATGGTATAACTTTATTTATTATTGGCCCCAAAATTCAACACATTTTATGTTTTTTGGGAGATTGTTTGTAAACTAATTAAATGATTTTTCACTTAAACAACTTTGTTTATTTTTCAGCTCGATGTTGTAGAATTACTCGGGGCACAAGGTGGAGATCCAACAGTGAAAAATACACTGGGAGAAATACCTGCAGGTGTTATATATATTTATATAATTAATATTCCGCTATGTAATAGCTGTACAATCATTGTTAATTCAGGGGTACTCTCGAAGTATGTGAACCAAGATGGCGGACACCGGAACATAGTATGTGTACCAGGTTAGGGTTGGGCCATAATATTATTCCAATTCTAAATATTTTAGTGTTATTACGAGTTTGGTGACTAGCCAAGTGACTCCCGTAGTATTTGTACCTGAAATTATGGCCTAATCCTAACCTGGTGCGCATACTACGTTCCGGTGTCTACCATCTTGGTTCACATACTTCAGGAACCTACCAATTGAGGATCAATTTTGTTGCATTCTGTAAGGTTTCATTTTTTTTTTAAATTTATAGATTTTCAAAAGTGATAATAAGACTAACAATTGAGTAAGGAGCAAGTATTATTCAATATCATTTTTTTAATTTGAGTATTCACTCAAAATAATGTATCTCCGATTCGAAACGAGGTAGACAAAACTCTATTATAAGTCAGTGTAGTTAAAAATGACCGCTGACTGGAAAAAGCTACGGTGAAGCTCTGAAAATATACAGGGTGTCCATTTACAATTTCAATTCTGTTATGAAGTCAGTTCTCAATATATCTTAACCAGGTTTGTTGTTTTTTAATCAGTAATTGTTTAAGTATTTTTACTTCATTTAATACATCTGTGGGCCAATGGTATCGATAAATTCCCTTTGCAATTATGAAATCATTAAGACTTTTTGGAAACTCTATAGATTAATTTTAGACTTGAATCGGTTAAAGTCTATTCTAGGATGGAAATTGCCCATTAGTTTAGAAAATTTACACAGCCTTGTTTTTTTCTTATTAAAAAATATTATTCTTATTAAATCATATAAGTATTCTTGAAGATTGTTCTTTGTATTGTTAAAAATATTTTGAATGTGGATGTCTTTGATCTTTGAGTTTCTGAAAGTATCGATTTTACCCTCAGCGTGGTCATATTGTATCACCTAGTAATTATCTTTACATAGCTAAGACTAATGATTGGCATAATTACTGGTGCTAAGATGATTTCTGGAGACCAATTTTAACAATGGTACTTTTACCAAGCCTGGCCATAAGTAGATAACACAAATAAGGTTGGATTCTTATATGGGCCATGTATAATTATATGTTATAATGATTTATTGAATATCCAGCCTAATTATAGGTTCTATCATATAATTTTGTGAGATTACTGCAATATCTTACTAACTTATTAGTCCTAATCTTTCCTCAAGCTGACGTTAATTATGGTACTCAATTATTTTACAAATTGGTTTTCTTGGTATTGAATTCAGATGGTTTGTGGTTGTTGAAATTTTAAATTGCGTAATACTTGTAGGAGATAATAGATCGCTCCTGACGTGTGTGTACCAATATGGAGGTAACTAATTTTGTTCGCCTACTTCACATCAAATTGTGTAAAGGGACTGAAACCTATGGGCAGGGGTATATTCACTTGGCTAACATAAACAGTCCCAAAACTCGTAATAGAACTAAAATAAGGAGAATCGGAATAAAATTATGGCCTAACCCTAACCCAGTGTATACACTACGGGAGTAATAGTATGATAATTTTTGGCTTTGTCTAAAAGTTTTTAAATTTTATTCATTTTCAAAAATTAGTAATTATCCAATGTTCAAATGGTTTTATATTTTGCATCTAAATCTCATTAAAAAATCTACTACTTCTACTTCATTGTTCTGGAAATTTTGGTGAATTGACTATTCCTTGTGGACAGATGTGAAAGCTTAACCAACATGATGCTTTTTGAGTCATGTTGGGGGATTTTGATTTCGATTATCACCTATTACCATGGAAGAAATATTGAATATTTCGACCAAAACTCCAGGAAATGTGACTCCGACGCTCCATACTTCACAACTCTTGACATTTCTTTCAATGTTTTGATTATCACCATTAGAAGTCTGAATTTTTTTTACTTTCTCAATCTCTGGAGAGAAGACACAACTCTGACTCTGGCAGCAATATCAACTGAAATGCAAACTGCGTCTTAAAATCTCGGAAATTTTCCTGTAATTCAACTATTTTTTGTTGACAGATGTGACGGACGACGATGAAATCAAAGCATTGTTGAATAAAATTAAATCAACAATGAAAGATCGAAAGCCAAAGAAAATATTTCATGGATGGAGAGGTTTTTCAAGTAGAAATAACAGTAGGAGAGCATCTGGAATGCGGGGGTAAGAAAGGTCTTTTTACTTTAAGTATTTCTTGTTGGGTCTGGTTAAAGTTGCAGATGGCACCAGAATTCAGACTTTTCCAGACTCATCTCATAGGTTTTTTTTGTTTCTATTATTCGTTGTTGGGTCTGGTTAAAGGTGAACCCGGGACCAGAATTCAGACTTTTCCAGACTCATTTTTTCAAGTACTTCCCTCTTGGTTTCAAAGCCGTCCAATTAGTTCAAATCAAGTTGAGGGCTCTAGCCCGAAAGGATGAAAGTTTAAAAAAGATGTTTTGAAAAACATATACAATATGGGTACCTCATTTGTCAAACATAATTCATTCAATATTGGTGTTCGACTACCGATTTTTTTTCTCTCTTGGTGTGGTGTACCCTCAGTTCTGTTCGAGTACTGTAGCATTTTTGAATGTAATTTTTTTGTCGACTACCGAATTGTTCGATTACTGAGTCTTTCAACCATCGAGGTATCACTGTATTTGAATCAAAAACTTCTCCAAATTTTTATTGAAATACTTTGGGGAATATTGCTTCAAACTTTGATTTTGAAATCAGTCCTAAAAGCATTTTTAAATTTCAGCGTTCACCCTTTTGTCTCGAAACCCACAATATACAGTGTGTCAATAAAGTTTTGAAATATTTTAAAATACAAATGAAATTTATCGATACCACATATTGTTTTGGCCCTCACAGATTTATTTAATGAAGTAAAAATACTTACATTACTGATTAAAAAACAACGAATCTGGTTAAGATATATGACTTCATCACAAAATTGAAATTGTAAAGGGACTTTATGATTTGTTGCATTCTGTCTGCGAATTTTTTTGCTTGTTTATCGGCGCACCTTTGCAGTGTTTTGACAACTATGATGCAATGTCATCCTCATTTCCCCCTGGGGTGTTTATTTATTCTTGATGAATATCAAGTTTACTATCAGAGGAAACATGAAACACAGTATCATTATGTTTATAGCGAATTATAAAAGAATTTTCTTGATGCATCTGCCAAAGCCATTATATGCAAAGTCATGCTTGGAAGTGTATCAGCCTACTGTTTTTCTGTAACTTTTTCAGTGATATAGTTTGTGAAAATTAACTTAATTTTAAGTGAAATAAATATAGGGTGTCCACAAAGTCACTTTACAGTTTTAATTTTGTTTTTAAGTCAGTTCTCAATATATCTTAATCAGGTTTGTTGTTTTTCAATCAGTAATTGTTCAAGTATTTCCACTTCATTTAATGTTAGGTCCAAAACAATATATGGTATCAATAAATTCCTATTGCAATTTTAAAAAAGTTTGAGAGAATATTTGAAATCATAATTATTAAGACAGACTGCTAGAACACAAAGCTATTCATATATTGTAATCTCTCTTGTGATCACTGAAGCTTGACTGGTCAGAATAATCACATACTAACAAGCAGAGTAGAATTCCGTACTGATTCTATCTGAATACCTAATAATCCGGTTATGGCCGTTTCTAAAAATAACAAAACGGTAAAACCATGGTTTAATTTAGTTCTCTCTAAGTATATGAACCAAGATGGCGGACACCGGAACGTAGTGTGTGTACCAGGTAAGGGTTAGGCCATAATTTCAGGTACAAATACCTGTCTAGTCCCCGAACTCGTAATAGAACTAAAATAAGGAAAATTGGAATAAAATTATGGCCTAACCCTAAGCTGGTAGACATACTACCGCCACCACATTCCTGTCGTGGCAATCGAAAGACTCTTTTATTTAAGTCAATTTTAACACTATTTAGCTTTGTTTGTAATTGATTTAATTACTCAGAGGTTTACTTTCGTTAATTATCAACTAATTGTTTTTCTCTAATTTTCTAAAAAAAGTTGCCACACCACGCCTTAGCCTGATCTAAAAATACTTTGCTTTAAAAAAACACTTGCCAGGCTTAATCTGATGATAGTTTGTGCATTTTGATATGGCCCATCTTCGAATTATGATTTATTCACTCGGTAATATAAGATAATTGGTCAATTTCGAATGGAAATTAATCAAATTATCAAGGGCTTTCAATTAACAGTAAAAATAAACGTTAAATTTCAATCAACGTTAAAAATAAACTGAATGGTATTTAAGTCCAATTACAATGTCTAGGAGCATTTTGGATAAAGAGTTCAAACTAAAAATAGACAGCATTTTTGCCACATGATCTATTTGTAAATGTTCCGTCCAAGGTATTGATTACACGTAGGTTATGATAGTTTAAAGTTGACGAACTTAAACTTTATTTTAGGTCATTCATTATATCTCGGCAAAGGTCTGAAACATTTTTGAATGTCATCTTAAAAAAAAAACCTTCTCTAATTTTACCCTTCACCATGGCAACTGTAATTTAAAATTTATACATTTGAGTATATACATTTGAAATTCAAATTTTGAAATATTAACTGAGCTATGACTTGAATTTAAGAAAAAGATTTCTTAATCAAAAGTGTATAAATGAGTGTTGCTTCGATGATCACATCTTAAAAAGACTTATTTTAGCCATTAAATTGAATCAACTCAAATCAAGTGTAAATTCATGTCCCTCTGGTTAGGTTTTTATCAGACAAAAAGATTTAAAGCATCAAACATGTGATGGAATGAGCCAACTTCTGTCAGTCATTTTGAATTGATATGCAACTTGACTTGTTTGAGAAAATGCTTCTTAAAAAGGAATTTATTTTTCTTATTTTAGTGAATTTTTACATCATTATAAAAAAGAATTATTTTTTTCAAATCACTATTTCTCCTTGATTTAAAAATTATTATGCAGATCTCAGTTTCAACCTTACATAACCTTTTAATTTGCCTTGAAATCGGCTTAAGATAATCATATGTCACGCTCCTATTGATTTTCCGGCCTCATGAGGAGCCTTATGAATCCAATTTTAGCTGTTTATTCCCTCCGCTGTCTTGTTACTTGTCCCTTGGGTTTTGTTTGTTGAATTCCTGTGGATTAGAGGTGAATATGTTTAGTATTTGTTAAAAAATTCATTAATATTGTACTCTAACAAGGAAAAGGGGTGAGGATAAATTTACATGCAACTCTAAACAAGGACTGATGGTCATTTTAAAATGGATCTAAACCCCGACTGCAGGTTGACAGATATTTTGACTGAAATTAAATTTCCAGTTCCAACTCCTAGAATACACATTCTTTAATTGTCAAGAATGCCTCTCGAGTTTCTAACATAATTTTTGACGTTGATTAACACCAGTAATGAAATTCTGAAATCATGAATTTGACCTTGACTCTAATATCAATAGAAACTGTCAATCCCCGACACCACAGCGCTAACCATAACAGCATTAAGTTAATGCTTCAAGTCTCATGTTAACCAGTATCTATTGACGTCTCTTTTGCAATGATCGGACTATCTATTTATTGCTTTTATGCGCCAGCGTTTGCTTGCAATTTGCTATTAACACTCTTCCACTCTTAGTAGAAAGAAGGATATATAGCCGTAGGCCTACTGTTTTTTTTGCAATTTTTCTATCAGAATTTGTTACACTTTTAGTTGAAGGCTCGAGGCCTTGTTTTATACAAACTTTAATTTAAAACTTTCTCAGCTCCCCTCCCCCTCAGTGAGAATTTTTGCCTTTAGATAGAGGAATTTTTCTTTCTTTTCGCTGTAGTATTACTAGTATTCTTTAGTTTTTATTATTATTACTATAATACCCATTAATAATAAACTACTTAAACTGTGAAAAAAGCAGGAGTTGCGCACTAGTAAAAGATCCATTAAGTATATTTATACACAGGGAGGAGTTTCAAAATAAGCAAAGGGGGGAATTTAATAAAAAAGTTTGGAACAACGGCTTGAAGCAATCTTGAATATAAAATTCTCTTGTACAACATGTCTATTCAAAGACTGATCATTGGCGAGACTAGTCTTTAGTCAAACATAATCATTAGACTGGAACAATTTTTCACACTGAATTTACCCTAATCAAGTCTATGCTTTTGCTTTAGTTGTTGTTGTTGCTACGCAACATGACTTTGAATAGAGTTTGTCTTTTGTTGGTTTTCTATCAACTTTCCAAGAACAATAGAGCAGTGCCTTGAACTTGTATGCTTGTCTAGCCAAGGGTAGCAGACATTCTACAGGTCTGCAGTTGAACAAACATGATGAAAACACAATATTGTTCATATCAAACATTGAAATTGGAGTGATCATATTTTTTAAGGGATTTGCTTATTGCAAGTAATGCTCATAATAAAAAATATCGGAGACTTAGCAAAGTTGCCAGCGAGCACTGAAAAGTCAGTACTCATTAAAACATATGGAACGGGTGTGCAACCTGTGGCCCGCTGGCCGAATGTGGCCCACAAGGAAAAATTGTGCGGCCCCCGGAGAAGTGTTAATTTTGAATGGTGTGCAGCCTGCAAAACGAGTTTTTAATTCAGTTAATTCGGTATGTGCGATAGATTACAATCCTTTTACGCTGCGAAGGGTATGCCCGAGTCCAATCAATTTAGTATATAGCTTGTGCAAAGTGAACAGCGCGGTGCGGCCGCGGTTTCACCCAGTTATTTATATCTGGCCCTCTTGCATTAAAGGTTGCACACCCCTGATATAGAACATAAATTCAATCTCACATGCTGTAAGCACAACCAGCTTTCTCAAGAAGGCTCAATGTATCCAATGAATATTTTCTTATTAATAGTCAAAGTATTTTTGTTTTCTGACTCTATTTTAACACTTACCTTTGAACAAACCACTGATACAACAAAGGAAAGTCCATGGAATTGGGAGTCATAATTCCTGTTTTGTTTTTCAGCCAATCATTCAAAGGTCGAAGCAAACGAGACAAGAAATCTGGAATTTCAACGATTGAAGCAAAATCAGAAGCTCAGTTCTGGTCTGGGAATCAGGAACAAGGAGATATTGTAAGTTTGAGAATTGAATTTGCCTATTTTAGGGAAAATTTGCTCAAAATTTTACTCACTTAGAAATCGAGTCAAACAGTGACCTCTGAGCGAAGTTATACCAAAGGCCAAGAACTACTTAGACATTAAATCATGCATCACCCTTCTCAATCCGGGATGATCAAAACCAAATCATTTACTATTCCAAATAATATTCTTGAATATGGATTCTTGAATGTGTTCTAAATCGGCTCATCAAAGAACACATAATTTATATTCAAAAGGTTTGAAATTGGAAATGCAGGAAAGTTGAGATAGACAGTGGTTGGTTTTCTAATTTTTACCGATTTCAGAATTTAAATTAGGTAGTCCTTTTGAGCCACTCTGACTGAAAATTTTTCGAATAAAAGTAACTAGGTTCACGTAACCGCTGGTTGGATGTGGCTTCCTCCACCATCAAAAACAAATAACTTGCTAACTAATCCCATACCCAACATGGACTGGTAACCAGACGAGAGGCCGTGGTTCGCTATATGTTTAAGACGTCTCATCTTCTTTCATCTCTCCCAGGATAAATATGCGAATCTTATCCTATATAGGGTTAGAATCCAGGTTCTACTTCGCCTATATTGATTAGTACACTTACTTTTGAATTTAATTACTTTAGCAGCAATTTCAAGAAATTCAGAACCTAAAATGTAGTGTATTTCTGAGACTGGAAATATATTCTTATCAAAGTTTCTATTATTTTTTAAAAAAAATGATTGGTGTAATTTATGCTTCATACATGATATTAATTGATAATTAGGGAAATCCAAAATGTATGGTATATTCAAATATATATTCATCAATAATTATAGTAGTACTAGTTACAACCATGTTATTGTTACAGAAAGGGACTCCTATGTAGGGGGTAAGAAAGTTGACAATTCTTTTGCAATCAGAACTTGCAGGTTAATTTTTCTGATTACGTCTGTGGAATTTGAATATATCTTCGTCAAAGTTGTATTTTCCAACTTTGTTTGAGTTGGGATTGCAGTTTCTATTTTTTGGGCTCAAGACTGATTTCTTGGGCCAAATTTGAAATTTCCGACTCAAATTGAAAAGGGTTTGCCAAATCCAAAGATTTCAGACGCAAAATGTTAGCATTACAGTAAGGAGCCATGGTTGTCATTTTTGTTCATCTACAGAACAGCAGTGATTTTCAGACTTTCACGATAGTTCATTGCTTTTCTATAATAATACCTTGTTTTGCTTATGACACGTTCCCATCACTTCTTTTAATATTAAAAATGTAGCAAGTGAACGCAAAAGAATGAATGCCTTATAGCAGGGGTGTGCAACCTCCAATACAGTAGAGCCAGATAGAAATAACTGGGTGAAACCGCAAGCTGCACCTTTATCCAACATAGATTATCTAGTACTCTGGTTCTCAACCAGCGAGCCATGGCCCACAGGAAGATTTGAGGTGGGCCACAGGACTATTAAAATTTGCTCGTTTCATTTATGCCACAATAGTTAATTTTGATTGTAGCAGCAATCAATGACGATGCTGTTTTCTGCTACTGAGGGGTTTATTTCCCATTTTAATTATAAATTTTTGGGCAACAAAAATGGGCCACGAAAGATAAAAGGTTGAGAACCACTGATCTAGTAGTTGCACGCACAAAAATGTTGGTTATTGATCTTATGATATGCGTTGTTTGCACAAGCTAGTTGTTATTAAGGCATTGTGAAGTCACAGGCATGGATAAATTGAAATCATTCAAAATTGGCACTTCTTCGTGGGCCGCATAGGTTTTTCCTAAGGGCTGCATTTGGCTTGCGGGCCGCAGGTTGCACACCCCGGCCTTACAGTCAAAGAATTAACAAATCATAACTTTTAAATTATCACAACTGTAAATTATTGAAGAGATTGCCCTCAAAGCATATAGGCTACACATTAACAGCTCCTTCATCTAGGCCTCTTCCAAACTATGTTTCCCCATCACCAAAGCAGCACCTTCATACAAACATGTAAACAAATAATAATTACTAAGTGACAACAAGTAATGGCACAATGATTACAAGTGTGTGAAGTAATCGACCACAACTTTCACACCTACAATGTAGCCAAGGTCTGAAGGGTCTAATTTCAAAATTCTGAAATTCTTTTGCAACTTTTTTTGATTTTTCAATGCTGTCAGCAATTATGAGTGATATTTTTATAAAAGCAATTATCGAACTTTTTCAATTTTTAAAATTCTTTCCAAACATTGCTTGATTAGACTGTTGTGAAAAAAGGATTCAAATTTTTGACTTTACTCCCCGGTGCGAGTAAAAGGAAAAAGGAGAAAGATAGATCATCAGATAATTCCTAAAATGTGGTAAGAATTGGAATGCGGAACTGGGTTGATCATTTTGTTTTTCAATCAGTTCATAAAAACGGGTGATAATTATTTTTTGCTTTTTCATTTTATCCATGATTTGCAACCTTGCAAGATATTAAGATACAAAATCTGTTTATAAAAACAGTGATGTAGATTTACGCTTATTTGATTAAAAATGATTTTTCTTTATGATTCTTTGCAAAGATATTGATTGATGACTACTGTAATTTAATTTTATGTTTTTGTGCAAAAGAAAATTGACTTTTTTATTGAACCGATGATAAAAGAATTTGTTCCGAAAATTGAATTTTTTTAAATATTTATTATTGATTTGCACCCTTGCCAGATTTAAGACTACTGGAATAAAATTTAATATTTTCATCTAGAAGAAATGTGCTTATAAGAAATCAAAAATTAATTTTTTATTTACTATGATTTAATGAGATTGTGAGTAATGATAGTTTAGTCTACTGGAGTAGTTCCCAGCCTTTTTCGTTAAATTTATTTCTTTGAACATTTTGGAACCCCTCAAATCTCCCTAAATAAAAAAAATACTGTTTATTCAATCTTCAGTGTACCTTATCTAGTGGTATGCGCTCCAACTTTTGTACATTTAAAGTAGTTTATAATATGTTAGTATATATAGTAATAATGAAGAAGTAAATAATATTCTATTCAATTCAAGAGTCCTGCTGCACACTAACTCAAATATATTTCTTTAACGTTTCGTCTGACCAAGGTCAAAAGCATAGAAGAAAGATAAGTAGTTAATCCCACAGAAACCAAATCATTATCGAAAGTAAAGAACTTTAGTTATACTACAGCAAATATAATTCGAAATTCCCCCCTAAGAACAACAAAGTTCCCCGCTGATGAGGAACTCCTCTCCTGTTGGTTAAACGTGAGTCTACAGAGATAAACCAAGCTTTTATAAACTTGACTGAAATTTTTTTATTTTAAAGACGAAAAATATATTTTAATGCTAATCCTATAATTTTGCCCAAAAAAATTGTTTTTATGTTTCTGCATGAGATTCTCTGCTTAAATTCATGGGAATAATAATATGTTTGTGCTATCATTTTGCCTATGTTGAGACTAATCACAGATGATTTGAAAAATTAATTATTTTTTATCATGCTTATAAACTTTGGCTGCTGATATTAATCTATTATGCAATATTTGTTTGAATTTCTGTTGATGCAGTGTCAGATTACAGGCAGCTAACGATATATAGAGCTGTAAAATATTCTGTTTTTTTTTCTGTGGTTTTCAATCCATACTCGGCCTACTATTTTATTGTTTATTTCAGATTTTATTCCATCGTTTTTTTTTTGTAGTTTTGTTAAAATAAGCAGCAGCAGAATATCAGTATGTTTTTTCAGTAACTCTGGACCTGCACACCTTGATCCGGTGTGCGATGGCAAGTGTTCCTAATGCTTAGCATGATGCACCAACACCTATTTTTCAAACGGCCGAAAGAATAATACAAAATTCCACATGGACATTAGGTGTATACAATGATAACATAATTCTATTGATGAATAAATAAATCACAGTTGAATACTAGCTATTTAGCTGTTCATCTTGGATATTTTTCAATTATATTCCATTTAGTTTAGTGTTCACTTATATAATCATGTTGATGATTTATCTGATCTTGATCACTTGTAATCTGATCATAATTATCTAATCTCTATTATCTTATCTTTTTCACAGAAGTCAGCATCACCATCAACACCCACAGATAACAACAACCATATACAGAAAAAAGAAATTGAAAATTTGGACCACGTCACACATAATGGACTCAAAAACGGATCAAAAACCGATTCAAAAGACTTTAAAAATGATTCCACTGCACGAAAAATTAATTCTGAAGCTAACAGCACAAAATCAGACTCTGGGAAAAAAGATAAAAAGCAGAAAAAGAGCAAAAAAGCAGAGTCTGAACTAGCAAATTCGGACAACAAGGCCCATGATACTTCTGAAGCGAACGGAAAATCGGGCATTCGTAACGTAATTGGTTTAAAGTCGCGATACAGTCTCACTGATTTTGATGATACTAAAAGCCCTAATGAAGGTAAAAATAACGCACCTGGTAAAACTCTTGCAGAATTAAAACGTGAACGAGCACAAGAAAAAAGCAATAAAAATTCACCTTCGACCCCTGATGGGATGCCGTATCCCACGGCAACATCAAACTTTACTTACAATGAACCTTCCGAGGATATTAAGCAGTTCAAAGGTCAAACTGCGAGACAGTTATCAGAAGGAAGTTCAAATAAGCGTAAATTATGTATTATTTTGTAAATGAATCAGCTGAACCCACTGAGCTTGCTGCTCTTACCCATAATTCTGACTTGCTATTACCCATAGTTCTCACTTTCTTTTATCCATAATCCTGGCTTGGTGGTATTATCCGTAATTCTAAGATAGAGGTGCCCATTCTCTATAACTGCGTTTCTCAAACTGTGTTGCGCGTAACACTGTTCTGCGAGCTTTTTTCAAAGCCTTTCACTAAACAGGGATTGAAATTACAACTAAATTGGTTGCCATGGCAACCGTGGTCGTACTTCGCCTCTGGGTCGTAAATTTGTCTCCCAACATATTTTTACGGTGGCAAGATGCACCATATGATGTAGTATACCCTTTCTATTAGCTTTACTCGAACTAGATTAGCTGGTATACTTACCTGAATGCAAATATGAAAAATATCATCTTATCCAAATAAATAATAATGAGACAGAATAAATAATTCTTTGTATATTCTTGAAAAGTCACAAACTAGACCCACATTGCGTTTTTTATCAAGATTTGGCTGACTCCAAAATCGTGACTTAATCTGGCATTATCTAGTACTTGTCGCCAAATTTCAGCGTTCCCAAGCCATTTGAGATGTAATCGAAACAAGATAGGGAACACCACCAATCTTTCTTTAATTTTCATTGTCTAATACTAAGATATCTAAATATACCTGCTGCCTATTATATCATTTGTTTTACCCATTACCAGCCATCAGTTTTTTTTTTTTAATTACTGAGATTTGTTATGTCATAATAGAGCATTCTGAAAAACATAGATCCCAGGTTATTGATTGAGCAAATGTATTAGAAATTATTATTAGATAATAAACTCTTAGGATGAATTTGATTTTCTTTATCATTTTTCCTTATTAACCTTACCTGGCATTTTGTTATCAGGGCAGGGTTTTCACAATGCTTTAAAAAAAATTGTATTTCTTTGCATTTGAAAAATTGAATTAGGCAAATCTTGAGAATAATTCAAAATATATTTTATAAATAACAAATCCATTGATATTACCAATTTGACCATTTTTGAAGTGAAACATTCTTTATATTATTTAAATTTGATAAAGTACAGCAATATTTGTGTAAAACAGTTCAAAATGGAAGATTTTCCATTTTTTTTAACAGCGGAAAATCTACTGTTCAGTAGAATGCAGCCATGTGTTATGTCCTCCTTATACTATATTGCCGATTGGCGAAGCCTGACTGACACAAAAGTTAGTGGAAGTCAAGACTTCATTTTGCTAATTATATAAACAAACTAATAAATAATAGAGATAATAGCAGTAAGTCGTCGAATGGGAGAAATGTCATTAAATCAGCTACACCAGGTCACAAAATCTTTTGTTCCTTCAAAGGCTGTACATTACTACTGAAACAGATAACAATTCATTTGTTTTTAAGTTAATTCGTTACAAGCTTTTTCTGATATCATGTGTTAAATAAGTAATCATCTTAACATGCTATTAAAACTATCCAATTTAATTTATTTGCCCAAATCAGCAACACTAAGTCACAAAATCTTTTCCCTGTATAGCTAGACCAGATTAAGACATTAGTATTCAGGCACATAGTCACATAGCCTTTCTCTGAGGCCCTGTGTTTAATTGGTAGTTGTCTTCAAGGTCCATGCATCCAAAATTAATAATAACAGACTAACTAATTCCATATCCAACATTGACTGGTAATCGGACGAGAAGTCATAGTTTTCCATATGATTAAGCCGTCTTGTCGTCTTTCCTCGCCCCCAAGATAAGTATGGAAATCCCACCTTATCTTATATTTTATAATTGCTACAGATGTATTTAGGCATACCCAACATGTAATCTAACAAAACAATCCACTATGAAGCCTTAATACTTGACGCTTCATACTCTGCAATAGAATGAAAGCACTTTTTTGAAATCACTGTATTGAAAATGATAGCGTACTTGTTTACGAGTATTCCAAGTAATAATTTTTTCTTAAATATTTTTTCTTGATTTTTTAAAATGGAATTTTTTTGTCGTTTGTTGAATTCATCTACAATGAAAATTTTTATTGTAATTTCAATAATATTATTTGTATTGTGAATGGTTGTACTGGTATACATAAGTTATGACATCTGTAATAATTAGTTTAAATAAAATTGAGTCGGACCGAATAAATTTTTAAACTGGTTGACTTATTCTGAACTGGTAATAATAATAATATACACTTTTCTCGCTGACCTATTTTGCATAGTGAATATCAAATGCTGCTTGTTTTTTTTCTCAATGGGTAAAAGAGACCTCCACCGTCTTGTTTTCTTATTAAACGTGACTACCTATGTTTCTCATACAGGGTGACCCAAAATAACCAAACCCATAAGTTTCTTAATTACTTCTTTAAAAATGAAGATAATTTATTTAACACTTGTACTCTGTTTGTGTATGATTGTACTCCAGAGTTTCAGCACTCCAGAAGTATATGTACTAATATGGAGGTAACTAATTTTGTTCGCCTATTTCACATCAAGTTGTGTAAAGTGACTGAAACCTATGGGCAGGGGGATATTCACTTGGCTAACACAGATAGTTCCCGAACTCGTAATATAACTAAAATAAGAAAAATCAGAATGGAATTATGCCCTAACCCTAACCTGATATCAGTAATCGGGACAATTTGCCCAAAAGCAATTTTTACAATGTGTTCCAGATGACTTGGGTTTTGTGTTTTTTTGGGCCACCCTGTTAACCATTTACTCGGACTCTTGTAGAGCTGTATGATGAGTAAATCATTTCAAGTTTTGTACTCTTTGTTCGAAATTAGTGTATCATTGCTTAACTTGTTTGAAATTAACTTCATCTATTTATCACATCACAAAACCTTCCCAAAAACAAAATCAAATCATACTGTGTACAGAAAGTTTTAGATGACAATTTTCATGAAGTTTGGCTTCTTAAAAGTTCTATTGAGATTTGCTGATGTCTAAGTTTTGGATTTTGTAACCTGTTACTGATTACTTTGCAAATAGGACCTACATTCAATCATTTGCAAGGCAATATTTTTCAATGTTTATATTCCCAGAAAAAAGCAATTTTCAAACCCTTCATCATAATTAGATTCTAGGCAATTAATAAACCCTTCCCCCGACCCGCCAAGTCCTTTTTTATGATTTCAGTTTTTCCATTGGGTACTTTCTTTTGAGAATTTGAATACGGTAACTATTCCATGCCTTCGACAAAGATATATATTCTAGTGAGAAATGCACGTCCGAATTATGTAGTTAATCTATATTGCTTCTGGCTGTCTTTATTAGGTTTGAAGATCACTTTGCATATTTCCGTCATTGTTTATATTGTATGTTAGATAATAACAGGTACTTGTTGTTTCATAGGAACTCAACTCGATGCGCTTCTTTATTTATCCCTTTTTAAATTCTGATTATCTACTTGGAAACAATCTAATTTTCCGATCATCAATGAAGCATCTTAAACTTTCCATGAAAACGTAAAAATTGTTCAAATAATAACATTTACAACTTCTACATGAATCTTTCCTTGTCTCTCGTCTGAAAACATATAACTGGCAAACTAATCCTATACCCGACATGGACTGGTAACCGGATGAAAGGCCCTTGTTTGCCATATGATTTAGCCGTCTTGTCGTCTTTCCTCCTTTTTCCGGGATAAATATGAAAATCCCAATCCTCGTTATCGCTAGATATATATTAATCAGGCCCCTGGACTGTTGACTCCCGTAATTGATTTGACTCTGACACCTGCACCGAGCTCTGGAAAAATCTAGAAACAAAACAAAAGCGTGTTTTCATTCAATAGATTGGTAAGGATGCTTATTAAGCTAAATTTTTTTTAGTTTTCTTTAGACAATTTTAACTTTAATTATCACCTTTAAGAGACTGAAATTACGTATCTCTGAATGCCTAGGAAATTTAAAATACTGACCTCGTCTCCAAAGAGTTTGAAAATACGCCTCCAATAAAAGCCAAATGATGTTAATGCCTTTATTATAGGACTCTTTATGATGTACTGTAAGTTACAAGAAAACTTGTCAAAGTACGACCTCCAATTGTGATTTTGTATTCAATAAATAACGCCATATGTCTTGCTCTGAAACAGTGGTTCTCAAACTTTTTAGGCTGCGCCCCTTTTTTAGAACTTGTCAAGTCCCGTACCCAGTGGTGGGATTCAGCCGGTTCACACCGGTTCTATAGAACCGCCTCACAGAATTTTATGAGATCAGCGAACCAGTTAGCATTACTGGTTACTGTCAATGTTCTGTTTGTAACAGAACCGGCTGAGAAATATATGACTTTTGTGAAGGAATCAGCTGACGGAAAAATTGAATCCCAGCACTGCTTGTACCCCTTCTCAAAAATAACTAGCTAACAATAAGCTACAAACAGATAGTAAGGTGAAAGTCTGTTTTATTCAAAAAATACGTGGATGGAACGTAAATATTCAAAATAAGGGAAAACCAAATCTAACAAACATTTTCAATTAGCTTCATGCCTCCTCAAAACATTGGCGCACCCCATCATTTGAGAACCACTGCTCCCAAAGGTATAAATTTTCTGTCACATTCCTCTCTGTCAGAGTGAATTATTACCTACTGCAGAGTATTGCTTGCTTCCCAAACCCATATCTTTGTTCTGATTATTTTTGTGCAATTTTGTTTTCACTGTATGATGTAGTCTTGTATCTGTGTCACCTATTTCGTTATAGTTGGATTATTTTTTTATTGTACTTGGTCAAATATTCAACAAACTGTGTCCAAATATGGCTGGTGAGGACCATATTTTAAAGTGAATTTTCAAGTAGATCAAATCATTGCAAACACTTAGTTTTTTGTTAGTAACTGGCCAACTATTTCCAAATTGAAATGGCTCACTTGGCTCTTGGTCAGTGCGCTTTCTCATAAAAATGTTTCCAACATGGCCAGACACACTAACCACTAATCCTCCATCATTATCTGTATTCAAGAGAATCTATTAATCTTGGAAAGCTAGTTATTTTCCTTCATCTCGTCCTGAAAATCTTTTGTTAAGTCATTATTTGCTTTGTTTTCGTTTAGTCATGCTTTCCTTTCTCATCCATTCCCGACCTTCTGCTTTGCTCATTTCATCTAGTGCAATTTTCAATTTAGATTTTTTTTTCATTTTTCCTTGTTTTGATTTTAATGTTGTTGTTGTGTACGTGGAATTACTGATCTTTTTCCTTTTTTGATTTAAATTCGACCGGATTTTTTCTTGTCGATTAATAAAATGAATCCCTGATGAATGTTGCTGGTATTTTTGAGGAATAGTGCCAGGGTTGTGGCGCCCTACTGGCTACATCAGTGTTTCCAAACCTAGGGGTCGTGACCCAAAACTGGGTGCTCCGGAAGTATGTGTATCAAAATGACGCACAACTAAACCTTAACCTGGTACTCCTACTACGTTCAGGTTGTGCGCCATCTTGGTACGAAGTCTTTGGGAGCACCCAAAACTGTGTCGCCTGCTAATTTTCATGGGTCGCTTGTTTTTCCAACAAAAACCTAACAGTTAATACGGTTATTCATATTTTTCGAGTGAATTTTGTTTATTTTATATTCGGCATTGAAGTGTTGTTCAATAGTAATTAAATATGTGAAAAGTGTCAAAGCATCAAAACTTTGCAGCAATCATATTGCTATTTAAACCCACGCCACCATTTAAAAAAAAACTCGCTGATGGTAAAAAAGCGCTGCCTTCTCACTTTAGAGCAGTGGTTCTCAGAGTTTTTAAGCCGCGCCCCTTTTTTAGATTTTGTCACGCCTCGCGTCCCACCTCATAAATAATTAGTTAACAAAGTTATAAACTAGGATTCGGTTGGAAACGGAAGACTTATCGATCGAAGGTTAGGGGATCCCCCAAAACAGTGGGCTTACTCCATAGTGACACCGTGTGTCCCATCACTAATTAATTAATAACTTGCTAATTATACGACATAATCCATTAAAAATCAATAGGCTTCTGATCCGAGCTAAGATGAATGCACATGCAAAATTTAAAGCAGATTGAACCTTGCTTTCCTGAGATATCGCGTGCATCTAACACACAGACATACATACATACAAATACCTATCAACATACTTACCGGTCAAGATCGATAAGTAATAACAGATAGTAAGACGAAAGTATGTTTTATTCAAAAAAATACATAGATGGAACGTAAATATCAAATAAAGAAATGCAGACGTCCAAAATAAGTCGAGCAAGATCAAATCTAACAAATATTATTAATTAGCTTCATGCCCCCTCGAAAAGTTGACTACGCGAAGGACTATCAAGTCATCGTGTCAGCGATACCCTGCATTAACATGGCACGCTTTACATAAATCTAACACATAACTTTCCAAACGCCAATTATAAGGCAAGTCGTCAGTCGCGGTGCACGTTACTAATTTGCTGCGGTCGCTTTACATCTGAAACAAAAATGAAGAACGGCCTCGCTGATAGCACGCCATTCTAATAACGGATTCGCGTGAATCCCATCGCTTGCTATTACCACCTCCGACTTGGAATATTTATCCATAACCTGGGAGGTACTCCAGTCCCGTAGTGTGTGTACCAGGTTAGGGCTAGGCCGTTATTTTATTTGGAGCTTTGAGGAGCTCCATAATTACCGATGACATATCCGATCTTACCATCATACACGAGTACATGCTTAAATGCTGGGTGTTCGGTTGGCGTTGGGCCCGCCACTTTCATAGCCCCGAGAAATTCATGTCGCATGGGGATCACCTGGCTATAATTGAACCCAACGCTGGTTGTTGTAGCTGACAAACGCAGTCATAACATGGCATGGCGCTTCTCGGCTCTGCGTGAACTCTACGTGCGTGAAATAAGGATGTTTGTCGCCTGGATCGTTATTGTATTTCCTGTTCAATTTAAATCACTCCGGACTCTGACATTTGAGCTAAGTCGTCTTTAATTAGTCAAAGACTCATTGCATTCAGTACACCCGATTGTCAGATTTGGAAAGCGGGAATTTATGGTTTTTGTATAAGCAGATGAGCAATTTAGATTGGCCAGTGAGGAAGTGGGTCGCAATGTCTATGAATTGTGTATTTATACATTCGTTTTATTATGTTGTTCAATCGGCGCTCCAGAAGTGTGTGTACCAATACGGAGGTAACTAATTTCGTTCGCCTTTTTTTCATCAAGTTGTGTCAATGGACGGAAGGCTATGGGTAGAGGGTATATTCACTTGGCTTACACAGACAGTCCCCGAACTCGTAATAGAACTAGAATAAGTAAAATCGGAATACAATTATAGCCTAACCCTAACCTGGTACATATACCAGAAATCAGATTCGCTATATAAAATTATTATGCAGTAGGATTTTATCCTTCAATAACGAACCAGGTTCGAACTTACTTTAAAATTATAGTGGCCTTTGAGACTGCGTAAAAACAATACACCATGTTTTTGTAAAAAAATTGATACACAAACAAGAGCGCAATGCTCAAATATATTGACACAAAGGTTGAGCAATTGATTCACTGCGCTTCATTTCAGAACTCTGACCCGCATGAGCGCATACCTCCTCTGTACGCCATTGTAGAAAGCCCCGGTCACTAATGCAGAAATGTTAGATTTGAAAAAAACACCCCCTTCACGTTAGGGTTAGAATCCAGTGAGTGGCAGAGGCTTTCTACAAAAGATCTTTTATTTCTCAATGATTCTGAATGAAAATATTTTATATTCGATTGAATTTGAATCAATGGTAGTCAGTCAGTCAGTCAGTAGTTTATTTTATCACAAACTGAATTGAACATTGACGAGCAAAATTAAGAAAAATAATAATTGCATTTCAGTGTGAAAGAAGACGCGATAAAGCTTTTGAACACGTTTTTAAAAATAAATTTCTCATTCAAGGAAAAACCGTTGTGTGTTTTAGCTTTTTTTTTTTTAAATAAAATGCACATCTTATATCTTCTTCTCGCTACTGCTTCAATCCCCAACGGCAGAAGAGGGTTAGTAGACGGATTATGCACCTTGCCTGAACAGAGGCAAAACATTGACTGGAACAAGGTAATTATAGATTAAGGAATGCTAATGTTTCACGTTATTGTTGGAATGCGCCATACTTTTGCACAAAAAAGGCGGACACTATACCGACTTTTCGAACCGTAACTTTTCGGTTTTATAGTTTGCTTGCCAATTTGATTCTACTAAATTCTTTGTCGCACGGATCAACCTATAAATGGCTCTTAGTGCCTTCAATTCTTTTATTAGTACTCATCCACTTTTGACTTAAGCTTAAAAAGACTAAGCAGAAATGGTAGATCAATTGCGAACTCCTTTATGATTCAACTTTTATGGTAGGAATTCTCACGCGCCTTCACACTCAAGTCATCCCGAAGTGAACTTACAGTTGATCACTGAAATTTCGAGAGCTACTGAATATATATACATATACCCATGGTGATGAATTAAGAGGCTACAATTTTTGGCAGTCCAGAAGTATGTGTACCAATAAGGAGGTAACTAATTTTGTTCGCCTATTCTACATTAAGTTGTGTAAAAGGACTAAAACCATGGACAGGGGGTATATTCGCTTGGCTAACACAGACAGTCCGAACTCGTAATACAAATGAAACAAAGAAAATTGGAATAAAATTATGGCCTAGCCTGGTACACGAGTAGGCCTGCCCAATTTTCAACAAATCTTTATTTCGAAATATCATATTCACAATCAATGTACAGAGAGATCAGACCAAGCGTAGACATATATTAAGTTCGAATTGAAAAACAAAGTATTTGAATCAGGACAGTTTAAACTATTTGTGAGAATTTAGTTTACTGTGACATCTGTAGCGGCAGCGATTCAGAAAGTGTTCGAATCGGGACAGTCCCCAAGTCAATAAAACGTTTGTCTACACTTGGTCTGATCACCCTGTAATTCTCCATGTTTGCATCTGATTTGATAATGTAATAAAGTAAACAATTTATTTTATAGTTTTCTGGTGACTGGTATGAAATTCTTCACCATCTTGCATACTCTGAGTACAATTTTCCTTGTGCATTGACAAATGATATACACTCGTCGCCTGGTGGAATGGCATGTACAACAACCCTGTACAATCCAAGGTAAATGTGTTTGTATTTGCCCAACGGTCATGTTTGGACCGCTATGGGTCCTCGACTGTTTTTATGCCAAGTCAGTGACAGGGAGTCCTCGACTTACGACGTTGTTTTGTTCTCGAGACGCGATGTAACCCAAATTTCAGTGTAAGTCGGAACATTATACTGTACAGTACATGAATTGCTTTTTACATATCGTACTGTACTGTAGAGTATGGTACTGTAATAAAATGTACAAATAATGCAAAAAAATACTTTATTAAAAAAACAGAAAACAACTCCATATTCCATGAATAAGAGCAAATACTGTACAGTACATTATTTTGTTTTATATTTTTTATGGATTGCGTTCGTAACCTCGAAACAGCGTTATGGAGTGCGCGTTTGTAACCTCGAAACAGCGTAAGTCGCGACCGTCGTAACCCGAGGACTTCCTGTACAGGGAACTGTTATGGGTCCTCAACTCTTCTTTTTATAACCTACTCAGTCACTGATACAACAACGCTTTACAACCCAAGGTAGCCTATATGTGCTCATATTTGATCGACGACTATACCACCGTATACCGTGTTTCCCGAAAATAAGACCTAGCCTGAATGTTGAAAGGATTTTAATATGAGCCCTCTCCTTAAAATAAGACCTAGTCGATAGCGTGAATTGTTTTTTGACCTAGTCGATAGCAAAAAATCTCTCCTACACGTTTTAAATGATTACCGTAATTCAGAACGTGTGAGAGAGGAAAGGTTCAATGACCACGGTAAGAACCAGGTAACGTGAAGATCACGCCACGATTCATATTTTATATATCTGAAAATCTCGTAATTCTCTACTTTGTAATTTTTTTTTTAATAAATGAAAATAAAAGCCATCCCCCCAAAATAAGTCCTAGTGTTATTTTTCGAATGAAATTGAAATAATACCCAGTCTCATTTTCGAGGAAACACGGTAGCAGTATCAGCTATGTATAGTACAAATAACAGCAATTGGCCCTAACTCCTCTTTTTATATAGGTAGTCAATGATATATACTATTATAACTTACCATAGTCTTCAACTTCAACTCACAACAAGACTCGCAATGTTCAATGTTTTGCTTTTTCCAAAACAAATTCAATCGCTCTCTCTAAATTTGGTGAACCTACAAAATGAGCGCAAATTGCTTTACTGTTGTTCTTATAGGAAAATCGTTATTTAATTCAAAAATATATATATAGTTATATAGCCTACTGACTCAGAGTCTGGGACTGTCTGTGTTAGCCAATTGAATAGGTTTCAGCCACTTTACACTATACTTGATGTAAAGTGGGAGAACAAAATTAGTTACCTTCATATTGGTACATATACTTCTGGAAAGCCATAAAAATTTAAATCCATGATAAAGTTCATTTTATTAAATTCCTTGTACAGCACCAATTGGACAGTGAGAATTCCCCTCCATATTTACCGAAATAATGATGGTTCATACAGAGAATATTTCAGTCCAGGTAAATACACCTTTTTATGCTATACTTGTTGAACAAATAAACCTGAACTATTTAGAGAGTCTAGTACAGAGATTCTCAACCTTTTTTATATTGCGGCACACAATAGAGCTCTTTCAATATTCGCGGCAAACCTATCACAAAACATGAACCTTTTCTACTCACAAAGCCATTTTGCTATAAAATAATAAAAAATCAAGGAAGATCAGATAAGGGGAATTTACCTCATGTAAATGCAACATACCCTGACATCCGGCGGCACACGACATGAAAAAGTTGAGTATTATTGCTTTCATTTATATTTTCACTATTTTAAAAAGGCAATGTCGTCAAAAAAGCGCGCACAAGCATTGTGGAAATTGAAGTGGGAAATCAGGAAGAAAATGGCGGTAAGAATAAATTTACCGTTTCATGTTACCTGTATGTTTACAAATACTCCTGTAGTATGTGTACCAGGTTAGAGTTCGCGCCTAATTTTATTTCGTTTTCCCCTATTTTAGTTCTGTTACGAGTTCGGGGACTGGCTGTGATAGCCAAGTGAATATATAGGTGCATATTCCATAGGTTTCAGTGTTTTTTACACAACTTGATGTAAAGTAGTCGAACAAAATTAGTTACCTCCATATCGGTACACACACTTCTGAAGCGCCCAAAAAAGAATACAATCGGTAACCTCTACGTTCAGTAGGCTGAAATCGGCAACGGCTGTTAGAGACAGCTTCATTTTCATGTAAATAAGCTTTTATTTTTATTTTGTTTCATTTCTAATACAAAGTTAATATTGTTTAGGGGTATATACTGAGGAAATGGCACTTTACACTGATTATAAAAACTACCTGCTTGGCGTTTTATGCGACAAAGCAGGTGAGTTTGTACGTTTTGTTCGTATTTGTTTATTAGATGTGAAACAGAAGCAGTGATTCCCCTACAACCCCTCCCCCTCCCTAAAATTTCAAGCACCTCTCCCCCTAATTTTAAATTAATTTCCAACGTAGATAAAAATGTATTTAGGTATTCATAAAGCTACTATGCCGCGCTGAAGTTGATCAGTCGAATACATAACACATTTTTATAAGTTACAAAAAGTTTTATCACTAACAACAAAATATTTACCACCCCCTAAATTTCAAAACACACCCCTAAAATAAAAAGCTGTAGCACATACTGAACAGGACTACTATATCAACTATCAAATAGAAATAAAAAGAAATCAAAGATTTGAGTTTTAGCTTTTTTTATTTGTGTATCATTGTACCCCAAAATTTCACAAATCTAATGGGCTTTGCACGAAGTTTGTGTACCAGGTTAAGGTTAGGCCATAATTTTATTCCGATTTTCTTTTTTCAGTTCTATTACAAGTTCGGGGACTATTTGTGTTAGCAAAGTGAATATATCCCCTGCCCATAAACTTTAGTACCTCTACACAACTTGATGTAAAGTAGGCGAACAAAATTAGTTACCTCCATATTGGAACACACACTTCTGGAACGCCAGTTTATGTTCTTTCTACAGTGGTTCTCAACCTTTTATTATTATTTATAATGTCATATATTTAAATAAAGATAAAATCTCATTGTGAAATAGGCGAACAAAATTAGTTATTTCCATATTGGTACACATACTTCTGGAGCCCCGAAAAATTGTGTAAAAAAATATCGCGTCCCTTAAAACTCAGAAAAAAGTATTAGCATTCTGTCGAATTCTCCCCTAATTGAGTACCGAGAATTTGGAATCGATTGGGCCGTTATAGTTGAAAGAGATTTTTTCCACAACAATAACAACACCCCATGATAACAACAACCTCAATTTTGCAGAACAATCCATACGTCTGATCCGAGTCTAACTGAGCAAATAATTCATTTATAGGTCGTCAAAATATATGGGTCGATAGTCCGAATTCAAGACCTACTGCTGCAGATGTTTTAAGAATTCGGAATAAACTGGTTCAAATCAGTTCAGGCTGGAGCGAACTGGAATTATCGTTCAGAATATGCGATGATCCGAATTGGTTGACAAGAACAAGGAAAACGAGTGACTCGTCACACAAGGCCAATCAACGATAATAGGACGATGTTATGAAATTGTGCCAATTCTACTTTATATGACTTGAATAGCATATTATATTAGGACAGGTGCTACTATAGTGTGAAATAACCTTAATCTAGTGCTGGCACGGGCAACATACGACCCGCTGGCCAAATCCGTTGGATAATTCAATCTGGCCGCGTGCTGCTGCCACAACCAAACTAAAACCAAATTTTGATGTTCTAGCTAAAAATGGCCCGCCAGTAAAATTTTTAGTATTTAGTAGTATTTTATTCCACCAGCAATGTGAAATAGTGTATACAACATTTCAAAATCAATATAAAAGCATTGTGACGAGATTGTAAGGAAACGACCGTTAGGTCATTGGCCTTTTGAAAAAAAATACAAAAATCAACATTTAATCGAGGAAATAACCACATTAAACCAAACAACAAATTAAAACAGAAGGAAAAATAGAGAATACAATGCTTAATGGATAACAGTAGTTTCTTGCTACCTGCCAACAGCGACTTATTGTGCAAGTCTGTGTCACTTGCAGCTATCGAAATATTTTTTAAAAAGCCCTCGGGATAAGCATGCATAACTGCCAGTCTTTTATTTCTTGACTAATTTTCAATCCAAATATCCGGATAGATTTTATATAATCGAAAATGTATAAAATCGAAGAATCTGACCTTGGAACAAATAGGTTGCGATGCAAGTAGCTTGTGCCATGGTTGTGGATTGGATTTATGTTTTGGAAATAATTCAGAAATATATTTGGGGAACAGTTTTTTTCGTACGTGACATATACAGCTGCATTTTTAGGTGTTATTTACTCAATTTGTACATATACTAGGAATGAATTTTTAAATACATATTTGAACATGCTAATTATATGGAATGCGGAAGATCTCAGACCGCACCTGATTGCCGACATATGGCGACAGACCCCACGCAACAGTAGATATACAGACGTTCAGACCAACGCAAGGTCAGAGATACACCTTTTCAACGATGCGCGAGGCTTGATCGCCTTGATTGAATACTTGATTGTGATTATTTCAATCTGAAGCAGTAACCAAAAGAAGGAAACAAAACATTGATTTGTTCGGGCTCTATATATCTTCCAAAACACAAATAATAGAAAACAGAACATAACAATAGGCTGAATAGAACGATAAATTCTCGTTAATTCTTATATTTAAAGTAACTGAGCTTGCCGTATTTAGATCACTTTTAGGTTTTCCCGACTGCGGCCCGCAAGGCCATTTCACAATTGTTGCGGGGCTTATATCTTGAACCACCATATGTTATGTTATAGTAGCGCCCAATGCTTTTTTAGATAAGGAAACTCGAGCCGAACTTAAAAGTTCCAAGGCAAACAAAACCACACAATCCGTCGCAGTAACTATAGTAGCACCTTATAAATATTGACATTTTAACAACTGACAAAAGACCATATCATTTCCGATTTTTTTTTTCAGTCCAGGTCTTTAACCGAATCGAAGGAAATGCCACAAACATAATGAAGCAGTTGGTTTTAATAAGTCTTTTTACGCTGAATAAGTAATTCCGAAAATTTCCAAAATTGTCTATCGAGACCAGTAGAGACCGCCGTGAAATTATTCAGGACAGTAATTTCATGAAATCAATTTAATTAATTGGTACTCTTGTGGTATGTGTACCAGGTTATGGTTTGGTTCCTTATTTTAGTTATATTACGAATTCGGGGACTGTTTCTATTAGCAAAATGAATATCCCCCTGCCCCTAGGTTTCAGTCTCTTTACACAGCTTGATGTAAAGCAGGCGAACAAAATTGGTTAACTCCATATTGGTACACATATTTCAGGAGCGCCATTTAATTTACGGGCCACATGTTATTTATTATTCTTGAGGAAATGAGATTCAACTTGAGGATATGAGATTTAAATAAAAAATAGAATTACTAAAAAATTTAAATTATTAAATGAGATTTGCAATGTCTTGCTCCATTAATTCGTTTGTGTTTAATGTAACCTGCTGTTGCGTCGACTAAAATATAAAAGCGTCCATAATGCCGCGGCCATGAAAATGTGTCCTATTTTATCTTGTTTCGATTCGTATTTACCGATAAATGGTAAGATTTTCGAAGCAACCCAAACATATTGTATGCCGCAGGCACGCCAAACTTTGCGATTTACATAGTCCAAAAGCATTTTTAATCTGTCGGTGCATTTACAATATGTCTATATGTCTGATAACTTGACCCCTCATACCACTTGGTCATTTCACAGGAAGAAGTTGAAACCAAGTGTGATTGCACAATCGGTCTCAACTTTTTTTTACATATATGTGGTTAATATGTACGTTGGCCATGCTAGATAAGTTGATAGGTAAGTGAACGACAGAAGCTACTTTCGGCGCCGTATAGTTCGAATGAGGCGATTCATCGACTACGTCATGCCTTTTCTCAACTTTGTGACAAGAGAGGGAAAAACGAGAAAAAAGGCCGCGGATACCTGACCCTCGCATTTCTTCTATCGTCTCCTTTCTGGTAAGACGTATAGATACGTCCGTATAAATAATTGAAGTACCAAGATTGCTGATTATGAAAATTGGACAAGGATAAATTCTTAATCAGTTTTCGGTAAAAGCGTAAATTGTCTATTCCATGTGGCGCAGTTGATGCTGTTTTTCCGTATGATATCTCAAAGAAGAATTTGCACACTGGGCACTGTAAATTTGTCACATAAGTGACATTGAATAACGGAAACTGTTTCACTAAAATACTTCCATATGTCCAAAGCACGCTGCATATCTCTTGCAGCAAGGGATCACAAAACGATCTAGATTCGTCAATAATTTTGAGAGATACCAGGATAAATCACTCGAAATTAATTTGTAACCATTGCGACGTAATAAGCTAAAACAATAAATTATTACGTCAAACGTCACGCTGCAGTTAACCGGTTAAAGAAATTCCAGATTCTCTTCGCCTGTAACCAAATACATTTTAATTGCAGTCTCTGCTCTGTGACATCACAATGCCCATCTAACTTCCATTTAAAGAATTCGTGAAATTGTTGTGCGTTCCGAAGTTACTCCGGTGGAAGCAGTATGGAAGATTTGCAGCTGTCTTCGTGCCTGACGCTCCGCGCCCATTCCAAAAGACACGGAACGAGGGTGAGTACTCGCTTTGCCTTACAAAGTAGTAGGAGAAACATGACAAACATTATATAAATCGTAACTTTCCGAATAGGAAAGTGACGGGCCAGTCAAGGCTGTAGTGCAACGCCAAGCCGACCGGTGAGAGCGGAGTGGCAAGCCGAACCCTCGCTCTCGTCGTCGCAAAAATCAAATTAATACAAGAGTGGGGGAGTACCCCACGATTCAGGTATTAATCTGAATAGAACAGTTACTACACTTGATCTTAGCCAATAGGCCGAAGAAGCGATAAATGGTCGGTGTTTTCACGCAATAATGTATTGGGAATTTATGAAAACGGTTCCGGTGACGGTGATTAAGTTTCCACTTACAATACTAATTAGTAGGGCTGGGAATGGTTGACCCATTCTGGATGGTTGAAGGTTACGATTTATTTTAACCGTTGACTGACATCTCAGGTACAAATCATCTTTATAATGTACAATTTTGTCAGAAATGATTACGTCTTCGCAAATTTATCTCCTGTAGCGTTTCATTTAAAAGAATATCACTAACTGTATTTGTAGAGACCCAATAGAGGTGAAAAATAATTGAAGTACCAAGATTGCTGATTATGAAAATTGGACAATGATAAATTCATAATCAGTTTTCGGTAAAAGCGTAAATTGTCTATTCCATGTGGCGCAGTTGATGCTGTTTTTCCGTATGATATCTCAAAGAAGAATTTGCACACTGGGCACTGTAAATTTGTCACATAAGTGACATTGAATAACGGAAACTGTTTCACTAAAATACTTCCATATGTCCAAAGCACGCTGCATATCTCTTGCAGCAAGGGATCACAAAACGATCTAGATTCGTCAATAATTTTGAGAGATACCAGGATAAATCACTCGAAATTAATTTGTAACCATTGCGACGTAATAAGCTAAAACAATAAATTATTACGTCAAACGTCACGCTGCAGTTAACCGGTTAAAGAAATTCCAGATTCTCTTCGCCTGTAACCAAATACATTTTAATTGCAGTCTCTGCTCTGTGACATCACAATGCCCATCTAACTTCCATTTAAAGAATTCGTGAAATTGTTGTGCGTTCCGAAGTTACTCCGGTGGAAGCAGTATGGAAGATTTGCAGCTGTCTTCGTGCCTGACGCTCCGCGCCCATTCCAAAAGACACGGAACGAGGGTGAGTACTCGCTTTGCCTTAGAAACATGACAAACATTATATAAATCGTAACTTTCCGAATAGGAAAGTGACGGGCCAGTCAAGGCTGTAGTGCAACGCCAAGCCGACCGGTGAGAGCGGAATATACGTCCAAACAACTTGGTGAAACCGCGGGCCGCACGTTTTCTAGTATCAGATTAAACTAAAATAAAAACTCGTTTTTGGGCCGCTCAACCTAATTTAATACCATTCGCTTTATAAATTCAATTCGTTACAAATGTAGACGTGACGTGTAAATATGAAAAAACGCAAATGCTATATCTGGAGATCCCGACATGTTCCCAAAGTCAGAGCTTAAATGAGCAAATACATTTATGCAATGTATTTACGAACTGCACATTAATAATTACACATGAATGACACATACGTGCAACCATTTCTAAACTACCCTTCCTCAATCAATTAGAATTGATTTGCTGTTCGGTGTGGTCGAGAGAAAAGTCGAGTAGATCAGCTAGATTTCTAAGCAATTCATGCATTACTAGGAATTGACTTTTGCATTGGCGTGTCGTCGCTGCATCGGCGCAACAAATCCGGTGACGTAAATTGTGTTGCGTTTACCATTAAAATAAATGTATTCGATTCAAAAACCGTCTGAAATTAACGCGAATTTTGTTTTCAGTACAGGATATTTCTAAACTACTTTTTTCCAATTAATTAAAATTGACCGGAAGTGCAGGCTGAAAATGACGCCTAATGCAATTATAATTCTTTATTTATAAAAGATTTAGTTTATAGGCCGTTGTAAACATATACAAGTTCATAGCAACGAAACCAAAGGATTTTGGATAGAACAATAAAGAATTATGTCGAAAAAATTTTTGTTGTTGTTGTTGTTGAAATATTAACAAACTATTCCATGCCGAGAACTGATAGTATTTTTACGTCATTATTATTATGTTTCTAAATATAAATAATTGTTTATGCATTGTTTGGTCACAATTATTTTCTAACAAATTTATTTATCGTCGTATTTAAACCGCATGATTGCTTTTTTCTTGTAGTTTTTGTAAACCGCTTGTCTGAGGAAGTCCACTGATTTTGGCCAGACGAAACGTTACAGAAATACATTTGTGTTAGTATGCAACCAGGACTTATGAATTGCATGGTAAAATATTAAACACTTGAAAAGCATCTTTAGCCAATACATTGGGTGCATTCTTAGTATAGTTTATCATCTATTATTAGTCAAAATATGATGTGGATTTCAACATAAACTAGTCTGTATAGAGTGAAAATTGACTCGGCAATAACGTAAAATTATCCATGTTTCATGAAAAAATGAAAATTCTCTCCTAACCGAGGCTATCCATCCAAAACATTGAACGCTATTGGTTGAATCAGAAGGCGGGGCAGGTCATTTGGCTCCCAGCGTATACTTTATAAATGAATGTCAAAACGATGCAAGGTTTATTATTATTCGAATTCTGTTAGATCAAGTGCTTCATAAGATTCTAATCAAATTTTCGGGTTGCTATTATAGCGATTATCGACTAGAATAAAATCAAAATGTAGCGAAAGGAGTTTATCCCTAACATAACAGACACCGCACGCTTAGTATTAGATTGAAGTTGATCTCATACAATAATATCACCCAATTTCGACTATTAAAAC